GTGGCTGACAATAAAAAAAATAATATAGATATTTTACTTCACAACAGTAAACAAAAAAAAAAAAAATGGTTAATGATTTTGGGGAAATCAAAATGTATCCTCATTAACTGGTACAAAATGATTGCTTTCATTCAAAGGTGAGGCTATGTATATAGGCGAATTTGGAGATTTGATTATTTTTTTTTTTTTATAGTTTTCCCCAGATAGGGAGCTGATAGTAAAAAAAAAAAAAAAAAAAAAGTAAAACATGAACTAGCTTTTCAGATCAACCAACCCAAATAACATCCTTAACTTAATAAAACAGGTGAGGCTTTACACAAATGTAGTCTCTCACAATTCTCAGCCTCTCCCACCCCCAATCCGCCATTGTATTGAGTTGTTTAACAGAATATCAACATCTTTCTGGGTCATTTAATGCTGAAATTTAATTTTCTTGGAAGCTTTGAAGTAAGAAAAAAATGTGATATGTTATTCTGCCTTCACAATAGAATACATGGTAGATGATACTCTGATTTTGTGCATATACACATTTGGGTTGACATAATTACTAGAGGCAGTGATATGTGTGTTTGATGTTCTAGCTGAAGTTAAAATTTTGAAATACAGTTTGATTTCTTTAAGAAATTGTCGGATATTATATAGATTAATGTCATGAAAGAGTTTTTCATGTTGGTTGTTTGGTTAGCAGCATATTAGCATCTCTATGGGTTATTTAATACTAAAATCTAAATCATTTACATTATTAGGACTATTGTCCTCATCTTTGTCACCATATTTATCACATTTCAGCCATTGTATGCTCTGGCCTTCTTCAGGTGGTTGGAATGTCGAACTGAACCCTTTATTTCACTCACTGAGGTAGACTGTTCTAGTTCCACTTGCTATGTTTAATGGATGTCAGTTATCAGTTATTTCCCGCTGAAAGTTCTCCACTGCCTTAACTCACACTCTTTGGGTCCTGTCACTGGATCTAACCAATGCCTTTATCCACTGTGCCTGATTAGAGGCCCCTTGTGATATATGCTATCTTATCAACATTTAGATTTTTTTTTTTTTATAAATATAAATGACAATAGGAAAACTGTAGTTATTGCTGATGCGTTTCGTCCAATGTGGACTTTCTCAAAGCAAAAAAAACGAAATGAATTTAATTAAAGAACGTAACTAATAATAATAAAAAAACAGAATGTTCTTACCAACTGGAGGAATGCAGAGAACGCTATTTTCATATTAACTGAAAATAACGTCAGTTATTGTCACGTGTGGAGAATATTGTCATTATAATATATTTATTATATTTAGATCTTTCTACCTACATTTATATAAGTTACAAATTAAACTAAGCATAACTGTTAAAGGATGAAAATTTTTTTTCGGATTTTGATGACATATTTTTTTTTTTTTTTTTCTCAAATCCTTGACTTTGTTTTGCTCATGCTAAGTCTAAAAAAAAAAAAAAAAAAAAAAAACACTATAAAATTCACTAACTTTTCATCCATAATGATAAATGTGTTAAAATTATTTAACTTTTCAATAAGAAAAATCTCAAGTTCATGTTAAAAATTACTGCAAAACAATGTTGATTTATTTAAAATGGAATGATCTATTATGACATGTCTCTAATTTGTATTTACATACATTGTATTTTTCAATTTTTCTAGTTGAATTGTTCACCTATATTGCATATGATCCATTATTGTTACAATTAAATTTGTCTTTTATATGAAAATTGAGATGTTGTGGTGGTGTCATAGATTTGGTGGGATCCCACAGAACCCTTGCACCAGCCCTGAAGCCAACTCTTCTGAAAAATTAAAGGCCACCAACTTGTCTAAATAAAAAAAAAAAAAAAACAGTGATAAAATTTTTACTTAAATGAATTTAAATTTTCAATTTTTTTTTTTAATCTTCCAACTTCCAATTATATCCTCCATTTTCCTTCAAATAAAGTTTTCAACTTTGCTTCTTTTTGTTAATCACTCTGTAATATTAATACTTTTTTTTTTTCAGGTGAGTCAAAGCTAGAATAAGTTCAAATCTTCTCTTTTCTTGCCTTTTAATTAGCTCAGTAAATCATCTTGCAGTACTGGAATGAAGTAGACAGTGTTCAATGTCATCTTTTAACCTTGTTTGTTACTCATGGAATATTTAAAAGCACTTTAGAATAGGATAACCAGAAATTTACTAAATAAAGTTTCAACAATGTTTTTATTTGAAAATTTTGTTATATATGATGATTAAGAAAAAAAAATTTTCATGTACGCATGGATTGTTGCCTTTGTTTATGTTTCAGCTGTTGCCCCCCCCCTCTGGCCTTCATCAGGTATGTTGATCTAGCAAGCTCATAGTGAAGCTTTCAGTATAAATGCCAACCAATACAGCATGCCATTTCCAAAGTTCTGGTGCAGTGAATTGCATTATGGGGCTCTTTTTCTCACAGATGATGCAGCTGACAAAAATAATGTGCATGCATGAAGTTAAAAAAATATAAAATGGCAACAATTTACCCATCACACATTGTATGCTCTGCCATCCTACATGACATCATCACAAATAACACAGGAAGATAGTCCTGGGTATGATGATAAACTACATCCAGCAGCAAACCTCTGATTGGAAGGTTTTGAGGAATGTGGTAGCATATGTTAAGGTTTCAGCTACGGACAAATAGTGAACCCCCAACAAACCACTATGAAAATATAAAAATACATAAAAAAAAAAAAAAAATACCAACAATATCTATTTCTAGTAAAATGACCAACAATACATTTTATCTGTAGTTGAAGGTACACAACTGTGTTCAAAATATTTAGAGGCAATATTTATGGGGCAGGTTCGAGTCTTTGAAAACTAAAGTGTGTGTCAGTTTCAGCTGGTTTTTGTTTTACAGCATATCAACCTCAATGGGTTATTTAATGTCGATAAATTTTTGTTGCTGGTAATATTTTTTTCCAAACAGTATTTCTAGTACTAAAACCTATTTTTACACTTTCAGTGTTTTTACCCCAGTTTGGGGGTTAACTATTTTCCCATAGATGATACCCTAACAAGTGATATCACCCCAGGTCAGGGTGGACCTGGAAACACTAGCAATTCTTCCTGATCAGAGGCCTTGCTGTTGGACATAGTTTATCATCATACCCAGGACGGAGTTTCAACTGACAGTAATACTAACCAACTTTGTTTTGTTTTTTCTTCCTTTCAAGGTGACAGCTAATCTTACCATTCACTTGAGTGGAGGGTGTGAAACCATTTTTTTTTTCTTCCCTCCAGCTATAGGTAAATAACAGGACAGAATGTGTGTCCTATAATCTCAAGTGGTAAGCAGTCTAGAAAGACCACTCTGATATTCAAAATCTCCAACTTGCTACAAGACTGAAGACATGGTCAGTCAGGGAATGATTCATCCAACAGGATTTACATTGTGGAAAAGTTAAAATTCCATTCAAGTTTGTTATTCACTTGAGAAAGGTAATGAATTCATCTCTTCCCCTAACTATGGGTTAAATAGAGCAGATGGAACTCTTTAGCCTTAGTTGGTAACCAGTCTAGAACAACATTGAATTTAAAAACATGTAGACCTGATGAAGCACACACTGTTGAGCCATGTTTAAGGATTACAGAGATGACTGCAGTCAGTTATGTAATTTTTTCCCCCACTCAAGAAAGACAATAAAGCCACAAGTGTTAGAGTGTATGAGAAAATATAAAGAAGAGAAGACAAAAGGACAACAATTAAGAAGACAGAAGATAAGTTACATTTAAATTTTTGAAGATCAATGTCAGTTTACTGGGAAGCAAGACACTGGAACAGTTCCACAAAGTAACTTATTGAACCTATGATTTTCTATGATGAAACCATGCTGCCAATCTAATACTGTGCTTAAATTCATAAACTTTCCTCTTTGGTACATAGACTATATCAGAACAATTACTATGAAAGCATTTATAGAAAAGTTACATAGTGGGAAAGAATTTTTTCAAAAAAAAAAAAAAAATTGACATTGGTAAGGGCTCTTTTTTTTTTTTTTTTTTTTTTTAAATAATTTGCTTGTCCTATTGCAACCATGTATAGAGATTTGTCACAGCCATCAATTACCTGCTACTTTTGGATGTAGAAAGAATCTACAATGAACAGCCTGACAAAAAAAAAAAAAATTTTTTTTTCTCTTCTGGGAGTAGAGGGAATCAACTACCTGTAGAAAATTCAGGAATTTTGCCATTCAAGGTTACAGATAAGATACATTAATCTTGGAAGCTCAATTGCAATATTGGGAATTGTTCTTGGATTTGTATTTAATCACAGAATAATTACAACCTTTCATATTATAAAGGTCAGACATTTGAAATTTTAAACCAAATCCTTTAGTTACTAAGGGGAATTAACTAACCCAACTCTTCAAGTGTTTCTTTCCTCTGCTGTGACCAGGTATTGAACTAACAACTCTGGGTCAAGTCACTTTTAGGATCACTTAACTAACTTTTATCCACTGGGCTATGTCCCCTTGAAGACTTGAGGTACCAAGGGGTAATTAACTGAAATGGAGATATCCAAAGACAGGACACACAGAATTAGAACAAGCTACCCCCTCCTCCCCTGTGGACTAAAAGTATTCAGTTCAAAATTTCAAGTAATATCACCTGAAGAAGGTTGGAGCATACAACAGCCAAAAACATTGTGAATGTGACAAAGATACTAACAACAGTCTGAACAATATAAATTGTGTAAATAATTACAAGGAGTGTTGAAAAATTCTTGCCTCAAGAATTTTTCCAATCCCTATTTCAAAATATCTTTAAGAGTGAGAACTTGGTAGCACCTTTAAGATATAAATTTTGTAATTTATCATTTTACTGCTGTATTTTTTTTGTTCTACAAGTTGTTTCTTTTCCTGAACTATATTAAACATCATTTTTTCTTTTTCTAGAAACTCTACCTTTTAAGATATTCCTTTTTAATTTTTCTATTTTTTTTTTTTTTTTTTTTTTTAAATGAAAAGGTGTCTCCTTCCTACTGTTGATCCCGAAAAAGGAGTGAAGGACCCTAAACAAGAACCTTATGAGACCCTAAAAAAGTAAGCAAAATTTTAAACTTACTCCCTCTACTTTCTTCTCCAAGCATTCAATTATTCAGGAAAAAGATTTTAAGCTGTCAATCCCCACCACACCAAGTGTGTTTGGAGTAGATTTTCTGATGGTGAGGGTAGCATGTTGCCTTCCTATAAAAGGCCAATGGTACGCACACACAAAAATCTCCAGGTAAAATGAGAGCAAATGGAGTACAATTACATGTACTATGTAACATTTAATTTTAAAGTGGATTCAATACATTGAGCTTAATATTTATTTTAGGTTACTACTACTGTAGTTTAACATTGCCTGAATAATGTTTTAATAAATATATATTACACACACAATTAGGAAGGGTTTTCAAGCTTTGAATGGTAATCTTCCTAAAACCACTGTACTTAGACTACCATGAGAATGTTCTTGCAAAACCTTGCCTTAAATTGACAATTTTTTTTTTTCTAAGATAAATCCCAATCATGCCACACCAATATAAACAGCTATGTTTGTAAATGTCAAAGAGGTTTCAAAACAACACTGCTGTATATCAGAAATTTTCATAAAGCTTTATTTATATTAAACAAAAGTTTTAGTTTTTTTTGTTTTTTTTTGTTTTACACAACCAACATTTTGTACTACAATACTAGATATAAAAATGTAAATTTCTAAATTTTATTGAAATCTTTATAAAAATAACAGAACTAAATTAAAATAAATAAAATTCATCTTGCTATGAAAAATTAATAATTCCTCTTATCCCTTCACTTTTATTGAAGGTTTCATCAACTTTATTGGAATTTTAGAAAATTTGAAAATAAAAATAAATAATCAAACAATCCACTGTTAACAATTAATGGACACAAACATGGAAATTATAAAAATCTTTCATTTCAAAATGGTTTGGATTTTTTTTTTCCAGATTTCGGACACCAGTTGGGCAAAACAATCCAAATTTTGGAGTGATGATCAGTGTTGACCAAGAAGGCTGGATACAAGTTGGGGACCCAATTTATGCACTACCACGGTGCTAGAACAATTGCTAGTAAATCAGCAGGAAAAAAAAAAAAAAAAAATCAGGTGCTAGAGAAATCATTTATACAGAGGTTATATATATTTTTTTTTTCTTTTTTACAAAATGTATCTGTTTTTCAATAAACGTATTTAAGTTTATACGCGGTGTCTATGTTCTTGTATGGAGGGGGAGGGAATAAATTAAGAGATTCAATCTCCTCAAAATAAAGTGAATACAGATTGGAAAATTAATACTGAATGCCTGAAATAAAATCTGCACATACAGTGAACAAGACAATTTAAAAATTTTACATTGAATTATTTAGGAAGAACCCCCCCCTTTCTGATAAAGGAAAAAGGTAAAGAGAGATTAACTAATTATACACCAAACCATTTAGAAGAAGAAAAAATGTACCTACTAAGCAACAGTGAGTACAGGTGTCAATTAGAAATGCAATTGGGAAATGACTATCAAGATAAGTTTATTCTCTTAAGAAAAAAAAAACTTTTTTTTTTTTTTTTTTTTTTTTAACATGATTAAGGATAAAATATTTATTTTTATATATTTAAAAGAATTATCAATACAATTAACTGAACATTTTTCTTTTAAAAAAAAAAAAAAAATTAAAAAATACAAACCCTATTGTTGAGAGAAGCTAGTAATAACGTTAAAATGTCAGGCCACGCTAAAAAGAAAACAGGAACAACAGGAAAGAATAGAGCACAAAACAATTTATTATAATTCCAGCAAAAAGTATCACACAGGTGAGAATTAAATGTTCAGGTTCTGCTGCCTATCGTTGTTATTTCAATCTGAATTGTCTGGGTTTTTTTTTTTTTTTTTTTTTGTTTGTTCCAGTTTTTTTTCTTTTAAATTCCCGAGCCAATTCACACCTGAATTTGAAAGTTAACACCCCACCCCCTTAAAAAATGTTTTTTTTTTTTTTTTTTTTTTGTTTTCTTCAGTTATTTCAATGGCTAGCAGGGCACAACAGGTGAGATATTGACCGAGTTCCCCCACCCACCCCCAAACCCTTACAGCAGGTCAGTACTTCAACTATGATAAGTAATGCTCAGAGACTTATGCAGATACACATGAAAATTACATATGGCACTTTGGGACATGGGGGAGAGTTATGTATGCCTTATAAACTGGAGTTTCTTTAAGTTTCTCAGCAGTTTTCATATAATTATAATAATAAAGCCAGGATGTCAATGGTGGTTCAGTGAAGATGTAGGCAGAACGAAGATTTAGACAGAAAAATGATAATATATGCATTGAATTTTTCTGTACAAATAAGATCAGATAAAGACAAAATTGCTGGTAAAATTTGCAGACCAGTCAGTCACAGTTTAAGATGACTAGAGTTTTTTTTTGTTTCTTTTTATTTTGATAAATCATCAGTTAGTAAATTGGTTCTTTAAATGCATTGTTCAAATTGGTCAATTAAGTGAGGTTGAGATTGCAGGGAGTGGGGTACCTTACTCTAAAGACCAACTAAACATGGTTAATGTAAAGAATGCCACTTTTATTTTGAGCAGATAGTGGCTGAAAACAGCCACATACAAAAAGAAATCCATTTGAACAAGGGATTTAAGTTATAACAAAGATTTTACAGCTCATATACAGGATAACAGTTTAAAAAAAAAAAAAGATGAGGCACCACTACATCATATATGAAGTCTGGCCTGCATGGAATACTATTTTCGTAAAATTTCTTTTTATAAATCTACTCTTTCATCACTACTCCATAAAACTTGAAATGATTTACTGTACAGAAAAAAAAATCTATCTCCATAAACAAATTATTCAGTGGATTATGTTAAAAATATGGTTCGTCTTTATCATACAGCAAAATACAAGGAATCACTGACTGCCAATGGGTCAGTTTAAGAAGAGTTTGATTAAAAAAAAAAAAAAATCCTGATGAACTTGAAGTTTGGACTTTGTTGTGGTTGTGTTAAATTGCATCTCAATGTGATAGTGTGGAAACTATACTCAAAATAAGGAAATTTTTTTTTCTTTGTTTTCTGCAAAGGTACAGTTTGTGTGTGTGTGTGTGGCTACTGAAGCATGTAAACGTATGCAGGTTTTCAATTTTTGCCATTTTTTTTTTTTTTCAAATCTGCATATATTTGAGAGATACTGCCTTTGTTGTTAGTGAACATCAGCTGCATCCTGTTCCCTAATATTTGGTGCCTGCTTCGGTTGAATACATGACCTGGCAACAGATTCAAATAACCTGAAAAACAAAAATACACAAATTAAATAATACACTTGAAATTCAACACCCCACAATAAAGGAAAAGAAGATACTTGAATAATAATAATTTATAACCCTAAGAGATTTATCGAAGTAGCATTCTGTCCAAATATTATCAAAGCAGATGATCCTAATGTTTGATTTGATATTCTTAATCCCCTAAAGTCACACTAAGTTCTGGCTGGAGTATAATCATGGAATATTTATAAAAATAGTTGCAAAATAAATTTAGAGAACAAAAAGTAGTTTTTTATTTTTTATACTGGATTGATGAGTTGAGCAAAGAATGTGCATCAATATTTACATGCAGGAAACTTGCATTTTAAGAAGCATATAATAAAAAAAAATAAAAAAAAAAATTAGGAAAATATACTCTTTAAGTAGAAGTTGGCAAGATAAAAATATTCAAGGAGAGGGATTAAAAAAAAATTAAATCTTTCACATTCTCAAAATAAAGTTCCAATAAAGATTAAAAACTAATCAAAAAGAATGTTGAAAATTATGTTTAGTCAGATTTTAGGAAGTAGGTCAGTCAGGGAAGATTTTAAACACTCATATATTTAAGGTCAGAAAGGAGGAGGAAACCAATCTTTTACAATATCATTCACACCTCCAGTAACAGAATTTATCTTATGTTTGTGGGTTTTCCTTCTGCTGCATTATAAACAAATTGGCCAAAATAATGTGTGGGGGGAGATGGGGGAGGTGGGGGAATATACAGCTGGTGTCATAATAGCTGACAGTATAAACCCTATTTTAAAATTAAAATAAATTTGCACAATCAAAGCAAAAACAAATAAAAATTAAATAAAAACATTCAATTACTGGCACCAAAGATTTTTTCCCCTCCAAGAAAAGGGGCAAGGGAGTGAGGGGGTTAAAAAAAATAAAATAAAATAAAAAAGGTAGCCCAGCTGAGCATGCAGACATTATGGATGAATGATAGGGTAATAGTGGAACCCTTTAGACTAAAGAGAGATTAGGAGTCTGAAAGAAAACCCCACCTGCATTAGAGCTGCATTTGGCCATGTACGTCCTTTAAACTTAAAGCTAATCTAGAGAAAAAAAGAAAAAAAAATGGGAAAGGTAAATCAAAAGTAATTGAAAGGCATTTTCAGGAATAAGAGGTAATGTAAGAAAATTTTAAAAAAATAAGAAATAAAAAAATTAAATGTTTATAATTTGGTGGGGGTTTCCAAACACACAAAAAAAATGGGGGGGGGGGGGACTAATTATGAATTGTTTTAACAAAGTTCAAATTTTCTTTTCGAATGGCCAAAGGAAAGGGGGAGGAGGGATTGATTTGAAACTAGATTAAAATAAAAATAAATGAGCGTAGAAACCCTGATGGACAATCTCACTAATGGAAGGATGATGATAGATGTAAGGCTTCCTAAAAATAATTAATGAAACAGAGGAAATTTAACATTTAGATTGTGTGTCTTTATCATACCAACTTCTAGACTTTTATCACAATATTCATTTTATATTTAATACTTTCAAAATTAGATGACGGGGGTCGGGGAAAAATTACTGCATCTGGGTTAAAAAAAAAAAAAAAAAAAAAGTTATAACAATACTTTTTTGATGCTAAAACTATAACAATGGAGAATTGGGAGCATAATATCAAGGCAAACTAACATAAAAAATTACTCAGTCACAACAAAATGCAAGTTTTTTTTTTTTGTTTTTTTTTTTAAATCCTAAATTCAATGAATGTTTCTAAAACAAAAATTGGCAAAAAAGGATTATGCATGCAAGCTTCTAAGCTAAACTTAAAAAAAAATTTTTTTTCTTCTACAAAGTTTATTGTATTCAAAGTAGAAAAATCTACAATTCATGGGATATGTTTTTTTTTTTTTTTTCAAAAAATCTCAAATTAGGGCAGACATAAAATCCAGTCAGAATTCATCAACTATAAAGTGCTAAAAACATGCAATGTAATTGACTAAAATGAACACAGAAAATTATCTACATCTTCAATAAAAGCAGGTACAAGCCAATTAAAAATATAAAAGTAAATTTTTAGATTTTATATTAATAATACTTACCACTTTTTCAAAATTGGAAAAACTCAAAAATTCAAACCAAAAAGAAATCTTGACTTACTTTTCAATTTCTGGAGCACATCGAACAAATTCATGAGTCCAAAACTTGAACTGTGGGTTTTTAATGAGCTCGATAAAGGTTATCAACAGTCCCCATGGATGTGGTCGATTGACAATTAGCCTTTCAAGAAGAACCCTAAAGAAGAAAATCATAAATTAACAATATTTCTTGTGGCGTGTAATTTTCAAATTCATTCCAGTGCAACTTTATTTGGGGAAAGGAGAAAAAAGGGGGGGAAAGGAGAAAAACAAGGGGGGAAAGGAGAAAAACAAGGGGGGAAAGGAGAAAACAAGGGGGGGAAAAGGAGAAAAACAAGGGGGGAAAAGGAGAAAACAAGGGGGGGGAGAAAAACAAGGGGGAAAAGGGAGAAAACAAGGGGGAAAGGGGAAAAACAAGGGGGGAAAAAGAAAAACAAGGGGGGAAAAAGGAGAAAAACAAGGGGGGGGAAAGGAGAAAACAAGGGGGGAAAGGAGAAAACAAGGGGGAAAGGAGAAAAACAAGGGGGGGAAAGGAGAAAAACAGCTCCTTTAAATGACCATTAATAACTTGCACCAAGATGAGATGAGCAATTCATTAGCTTCTATTAGGAGATAAATTATAAAAATAGCAAATTAGACGACATGTACATTTATCTCATGATCAAGTTTGCTTATGGAGTCTCTCTCAGAAAACAAACAAACTAACAATCAATTTGTTTGTCTCACCTTGTTATTTGTTCTTGAATCGCTTCTGCATTGGCTTCAACAAATAAATACAACAAAGTACAGCTGAAATAATGAGTATGGCTATTTGGATAGCGCAGTTGATTTGTGATTGCAGTCAGGAATAAGTAGCGACCTGTAAATAAAATTTCAAGACTTAACATTTTAGCCACATTTTGTTTTCTTGTTATTTGTTTAGATCCAGGTTTCAAAAGGCTCATCAAGTCATTAACCATCACAACAAAATTTTCATTGTTATTTCATCGGACCTTCGGGCAGGTTTGGGGGGGGGGGTGAATATTGCCACACTCCAGAACATTAAATGACTTCTTTCCATGGAGTATGATTTTTTTCCAAAATGGAGAAAGAATAAATGAAACTTGGAGTAAATTGAAAAACTACTTACTTCTAATCTAAAACATAACTGCAGATATTTTTTTTTCTTTAATACAGGAAATGTCATTTTGTTATTAGAGTATTAACATGTTTAAGATATGACGCTATCTTTAGTTAACAAATGGAATTCAATAAATACCTGCAGTTACCTTTTGAACATTCCAGTAATCAAATTGCAACAAAAAAAAAAAATAAAATAAAAAAATAAAAAAATGGCTCAATTAAGTTGTAAATGACGAGTTTTTCCATTAAGAATATCTATCTATAAAATACTTCAATCAGGTGTCACATCAATGGTAAAATTTGAAGTTTTTCTGCTCCATTTAAAGTGACAAATACCTAACTCACTTTCTATTGAAGAGAGAAAAAAAAGATAAAATCTCTGCACTAAATTAGAAAAAGTCCCTCATTAAAGATAATGGTTTTAAAAAGAGTAGACATCTTTTGTTGAAAGAAATTACTTACCCAAATGCAATTATCATCATTGCTAATATATTTTGGTGCTTGCCAAATGTTAACATTCATGATACTGGTGTTTAATCATTCCAACAAAAAAAAAAAAAAAAAAATGGGAAGAGAATGTAATGGAAAAGAAAAGGAAAGGAAATGTAGTGAATACTTACCTTCTGTATCAAGATCAACTGCTAAGTTCTGGAAGATGTCCATGTGAGATGTATGAGCGATTGTCCGCATACTTGGTTTATAACCTGTGTTGTGTATGTAATCAATAGCCTGGGTCCCAACATACAATACTAAAGCATTTATCAGGGAAATATTATATTTAGAACCAGGATCATTTGACTGGAGAAAAAGAAAAGTCAGAATAAAAATATTAAAACAGTTGAAACAAATATTTTTAACTAAAGTTTCTACTAAATTACATTCCCAAAACATTAAAATATCAATAGTTCAATAGCTATTCCAAACTACCGTTACCACATTAATTTCTTTCTAGAATTGTTTCCCCTGCCGCTTCATTTTTTTTTTTTTTTTGAGGGTGCAAAAACATGAACACCTGTTTTAAAATTGTTACAACTTTCTTTGTATTGTTTGTATACTAATCAAAAAATGGATGAGTAATATTTTGATGTAATGCATTACGTTTTGCATGCAGGTTTTGACGTTGAAAACAAACAAAAAAATTGAAACGCGAAATAAAAAACAACTCCTGAATAAATGCTTCGTTTGATATTGACACGGCTGTTTTTGTTTACAAAAAAAAAAAAAAAAATTTAATGTGGGTTTAATCGGTGTTATGCCACATGTAGAGTATAGAAGAATTCAAAATGGGATTGGAAATTTAACCTTCTTCCAAATCAGTAGTAGGCAATTTCCAGCTTAAAATATGGGAAATAGCAGTTGAATAGTTTTTATTTATAGCAACCGTTTCAAGGAGACAGAATGTGCCTAGAGTAGCAAAGGGAGAGAATTCAATTTTCGCCTGCAACATGATAACGGTTAAATTCTCATCTTTCTAAAAATGCCTAGTCACAACTTGGCTCATTTTACTAAATAACCTTTACTCCTAATGATATACAATGAACAAAATTTCAACACGTGAGAGACTGAAGGGAATTATAAAACATGAAAGCATACCTGTAAATTACTTCTCAGCTCAGATAAGAATGTGACAGGAGATCGCGTCTTTAGATATGAATCCAGATCCTTAAAGAGGAAGAAAGAGAACATTATAAAGCAACAAGACAAAATTGATTGACATTCCCTAATCATAAGGAACCTTTCCATATCTGAACTATAAAAAAAAAATAAAAAAAAAAAAAAAAAAAAAAATAAATAAAGTCATACATATACAAAATAGCATTACTCTAATCTCTGGAAAGGTTTAAGAAAAAAAAAAAAAAAAAAACTAAAATAGATATCAAGCACAAATTTCCTAATGAAAAATTTGTTAATCAAATTGGTTACTTTTCTCAGAAATGAAAGATTTTTCAGGATTTTAATCCTGGGTTTATTTCCACTTGAAAAGATTATTTCAGATAAAGTCAATTTATTTTTAAAATCAGCTTTTATGTGATCGAGAAATACATTTAAAAGATGGAAACTTGTATATCAATAAAACTTACCTTTTTAAATGATTCAGGCTGGATCATATTGGCAAAATTGGTGAGAATACGTGGAGGCCTGCCAATGTCCGGTAGAACATCTACCTTTAAATTTGGTGTGAATGGATCTGGCATTCGCATATTGCGAGGAAAGGCACTCAGAATGAGATTTCTCATCTGTATGCAATTTGGTGGGATAGCATCACAGAATGCATAATGGTAATCACAGAGGAACTCAGGGAAGTCATGCAAGAGCACCAACAGAGCTCTTAGCATCCCCTAAAGAAAGAACAGTTTGATTTTTTTTGAGTCAAAATCAAGGTAATATTCATATCCAACATCTAAATATGCACAAGCAAAATAAATTACCTAACATCCTTTGATATTCATCAATATCATTCTTCCTTCCTACACTTTCATATCAATAAAATTCAGATCTATATATCCCTTTAGAATTCAACACTCAAACCTGCTCTGTAAATATCAGCTCTTAAAAAATCTCAGTTTGCACAATTTCCTGTCATTTGTGATGATGACATCCTATATTATAGCAGAGTATACATGGGGCAGATTAAGTCAGGTTCAACATTCTACTGAATACAGTTTCAATAAAATTCAATTTTTCCTCCCCAACTTTTCTTTTTCTTAAAAAAAAAAAAAAAAAAAAATCTTGAATTTATGATATTCAGTGTAAGGAACCAAAATGCTTTTATTGTTGATTGAAATTTTGCTTAAGAACCATGCCTCTATATATATATATATATATATATATATACACGAGAGGCATGGTTTATATATATATATATATATATATATATATATATATATATATATATATATATAGAGAGAGAGAGAGAGAGATATAGATAAGCATTAAACTGAATCAATTTTTATGAAGTAATAATTTCAACTTTGAGAATAGGAACAAAACTTACTCATGCCAAAAGATGGTGAGATATAGAGTGAATTTTTCTTTTAAGTGTTTAATATTGTTAAAAAATTACATTAAAAAATGATATTCAGTTCTATTTTTCTTTAAGTATCTTTCAAATTAAATGGAATTTCTGCAGGCCTCACAATTTGGATACAATTTTTAAATTAACAAAAATTCTAGGTATTTCAAAGCATAAATTGATCAAGTCAAATCACATGTGGAAAATTGTGTTTACTATTTTTTAAGATATCCAATGTAGCCTAAATAAATTTTGTATCAATAATTGTCTTCAAATAATTCTAGCACTAAACTAAGACAAATTTGGAAGCAGACACTTAAAACTCACAAATTACAGCAAAGATAAATTATGAGGATATTTTTCTTTACTCAAAATTTTGAAAAATGCTAAACTAATGAAAATTTCAGATAATTAAATGAGAATTTAAGTAAATTATATTTTATGTGTAGTGAAAAGCAGCTTAAATCATCTGCTACCTCTATCCAGAAGATATTCAATTACAAAAAGTTGGAAATATAGTTACCTTATAGAGTAACTGGGTTGGCTTGGTCAGGTCTGCATTGCGTAGGAATGGAGCAAGATATCGGAATAGATCAATTAACAACTGGGCATACATACCCCAGCCCTAGAAGAAGAAAAAGAAAAAAGAAAGAAGGTTAGGCTTCATCAGTAAGGAGTATTTTCTTTTTAACACACTTTATGATACTGGAATTAATAGAAATTTTTAAAAGTTCAAATTTAAAAAGATTAAGATTTTTTTTTTCTTATTTTACAAATATACAATACTAACTGTAAAATTGAGAAGTCTTTTATACTTGCACAGGGGTCACCAGTTTGATCACAAAATTAATTTCTTAATTTTAACCGAAATGCCTTTCATGGCAATCTTGCTACATAGAATTTAAAGCCCATGCAGTGTTCCAAAAGAATTTTCTTACAGTAGGTAAAAACTAATAAATTTAAAATAATACTCATTCCACAATCATTAAAATATTTGTCTTCAATTTTATATTCTGTAGTCCAATAGGTTTACTCCTGATTTTCTTAAACTTGTACTACTTACACGTTGTTGTGGAGTCAATGCAAGCATTCTGCCTATAAATACCCGATGAGAGATCAACTCTAGCCAAGCAAATGCAAATCCAGGTGCCCGAGCAGGACGAAGTATGTGGAATGTATTGCTGCAAGATCAAATAAATAAATTAACAAAACATGAAAAGAAATAAAGCAGTCTGCAAACAATTGTTTTTGGTTGGTTCGCTGGTTGCTTGGTTTTACGGATTAACTCCCCGTGGGTCATTTAAAGCCAAGTCTTATATTGCATAAAATTTTAATTTATTTAGAAATCATACAGTATCAACTATTTTTTTGTGCAATCTTATGGTTTCAGCTATTCCCAGCCCCCTACAAACTTTTTAGTTTATGATTATTTTTTTGTGAGCTTAGCATATGAACCAATCTAGAGTTATTTAATGGCAAGAATAAAAAAAGAAAGTACCTTTTTAAAAGGCAAAACATTGTAGTTGTCAAAGTTGTTTTTTGATGCTATGACACTAGAATTGATTTTTCTCCAGAGATTTATTGCCTTCAGTCAAAATAGAAAGAAACAAATTGACTATTAAACAATTTATTCAGTTTCTTCTGACATTTGATTTTAATACTGATTTAGGAACTACTCTTAAAAGATCCTTTTTTTCAATCACAAAGGGAGAATTTTGTTCAAAGACTTTCAATTTATTCAAGAACAATGAAATCTGGCAGAGTTGATGATGGGGGGAAAAGAAAAGTAAATATTCAACTTACCAAAATGCAGTAAGGACCTGGAAATTGATAGCTTCAAGAATGGGTTCTGGAGCATTCAATTCGATGAACAGCATAATGAATATCCTATGATATGGCATTTGCTGAAATTCTGTGTGCCGAAGTTCATGATCCTGTAAGAGGACTCCCGCAACAATCCCAAGAACCTTAAAAGAGAAAAAACAAATATACTAATGCAACATAATTGCTTTTATGAAGAGGAAAAAAAAAAAAAAAAAAGCAACCAAAATTTACATAAGTGAAATAGAACCTCAAATATTTTGATTTTAGTTGAAACTAAGTTTTTACTCATTCCAAAAGAATTGGGAACAATTGTTGAGAAAAATCAAAGTTGGATTATATAAACCAATAAAAAAAAAAAAAAAAAATTATTAGTTCAACATAGAACATCATTAAAATTAAAGTTTTGTTTACTTTTAAGATTTAGTGAAACTTAATGAATATATACAAGTATAAGTGACATTGCATATTGGAAGGGAGCAAACAAACTAAATCAGGCCTGGGCAATATGCAGCATGGTCACATGATCTATGGCTTATCACAAGGCAGGCAGCACTACTAAAAAGATTCAATGTAATTTTTAGTAGTAGCTACCTCAGCTATTTTCACTACAGATGACGATATGCAAAAAGAAATGGTAGGAAAGTTATTTTTTTTTTTTTAGAAAAGATTTTTATAGTTAAAAAAAAAATTGAAGTCTTGGTAAAATAATATCACTGATGGCAGTGTAATTAACGTGTGTGTAGGATTTATTTCTAATTTTTTCATTTGAAAATGAAAACATTTCTTCTGAAGGTTTCCTCTTTCAAAAGAAAAAGATGTTTACACGTACAATCTTCCTTACTGAAAATCTCCAATGGTTTAAAACAGACAATGTGGCTATGCATGAAAGAAAGTGTGAGTGAAAAAGTGAGAAGGAAATAAAAAAAATTTAAATGTTATTTGCCTTATGAAATTAAGTGGGCCAATCAGAAAAGACCAAGTGGGCCGAATATGACTGAACTAAACCAACATTTTTATTTATGCATTTAAATTTGTGATCTCTTATTCTACAGTCTTTTAGAATAAAAATAAATTTATTCAATTTAAATTTTTATTACAAGGGTAGAATCTTGAGTGAAAGAAAAAAAAAAAAAAAAACTAATTTTTTTTTTTTCTTCTACTCATATCCTCCCTTCCCTTTTTCTTACATTTCATAAAACCAGATATATCTACTAGCAGTAGAGCCCGGCATTGCAACAGTAAGAGATAGATCAAGTATCAACCATCATAAAGACTGAAAAATAAAATTGACAAAGATTATTGTTTAAGGTTGACGGACATGCATGTCTTAATTAGTTTTTATTTTTTTTATTTTTACGAATTGGTCAAACCCAAACAAAAACATTGTTTTCAATCATTATGAGTCTATCGATTGAAAAGAATTTTATTATAAACAATTGTCTTGTAAATGGAATTTTTAAAGCATTCTGAATGTAAAAATAAAGAAAAAAGTGTGCAAGACAATAAGAAACACTACCTGCCAAAAAAAGTGAATTTTTGTTGAAATAGGTTGAAAAATGTAGGAAGTCCGATCCCATATATAAACGAACACACACACAAACAAACAACCTGGGTTTTATAATAAGTATAAAACGATATGAGTTGTCCCCCGTTCATTCTGGTGACAGAATTGTGTTTTATCGTGTTTTCAAATTGGTTTCGTGCAAAAACAATTGTGTTTTTCCAATTTTTGGCACTGTCAGAACCACCGCAAGGTAATTTTACGCAGTCCTGTGAAGTTTTGTTGAAATCGGTTGAAAAATGTAGGAAATCCGATCCAATATATAAACGTACAGACACACACAATCTGCATTTTATAATAAGTAAAATGACAATGTTTTTTTTCTTCACCATGACAACAAAAGAATTTTTCAGTCTGAAATGGTTATAGGGCATATATATATTTATTTGTCACAAATCATAAAAGAACATGTACAATTATCAATTCTTAAGATTACTTGACATGTGTCAACTCAAAGTATTTAATCAAACACTTACTTTGTTTAACAAATTGATCTTGGTCACTGTATTTGCTGCATCACCAGAATGCTTGACAAGCAAAGCAATGAGTCGTACAAAAGCATCAAGTGTGTGGAAACATTTGGCTCGGGTTAATGTTTGGTTATGCGTTTGGTCTCCCAATGCGCGGTAGCATAAATCAACACACATTTCAGTACACAGACGGAAGAATCTCGTGATTAAGTCATCAGTTTTTAATATACCTTGGATATGCATCTACAAATAAAAAAAGAAAACAAAAAAAAAAACATTAATCTATAATCCTACTTTGCTGATATATTTTTGATTAGCAACATGATTAAGTTTAAGAGGCTATGTCAGTCATGTAACATATTGGCACAGAAAGTGGAATCAGAGAGCAGAGTTCAAGTTCCAGGCTAATCTGTTGCATTTACTTTCACACAGATGCACTTGAGAAAAGGTATGAATCTGTCTCTTCTCCTCAGCAGCTATGGGTAAAATAGACTGGGCTCCGTAGTTGCACCCTCCTCGGGTGGGGGGAGGCATGAGAGTATAGGCAACCAGCCTATGTGAGGAGGAAAAGTGAATTTCAAGCCAACAAGAAACCACTTCACTATTTTTCCTAAAAATTCAATTTGCAGGAGGAAAAAAAAAGTCAGTGTGAGTTATGATTGAAGAGACAAGACATTAAAATGAATAAATAAGATTATTCCTTGTTTAGATCAAGGAAGGATCAAAGTGGCAGCTTGAGAATATGGTGCAGCAAAAATTCAAAGAAAATATGTTGACTGTTAGGGGAAGAGTCTGCAGACTGACCTGATCACCCACCCACAAAATATGGAATTCTCTAATAGTAATCAATTTATGACTGGCCTGGTAGTAAATTGCTCAGTCTTTTATATTCATTTTCTGTTAAGTGAGAAGAGCAGGAAAATTACACTTTATCTGTAAACAACATAAGCATGTTTGTGTGTCTGCAGCAGACACACAAATTGAATTTTTAAGAGAAACTAATTAAAAAGGTATTTAGGCAATATGGATAATTATATCCTCATTACTAATTAAAAATAAAAATTTTAAATGCTTATCACAACGTTTTCATTTTAGGAATTGTATTGACATTTGATTGATTCGTTTTCTATGGTTTATCAACACTTTGCAATTTTTTTTTTTGTTGAGATAATGGTTAAGTGATACAAGTCTAATTAACCTATAGCTGGGGGTTGGGGAGAAAAGGGTTATTTATGTGTAAGTGAAAACAACAAACCCAAATGGGATTTGGAATTCGGCTCTCAGATTAGCAATTCCAAGCCTATATCCATTACACTACCCATACATCCAAGCTAACTGTATTTAGTATCCCCAAGTGGTCATCCACTGACCAGGTTTGACATGGCTCAACTTTGCTGATCGCACAGGAACCAGAGTTTCAACACGATGTGGCCATAAACATTTGACAAAATCTATACCGAGGAAATGGTCAAGAGTAAAAAGAGAGGATCGACATAAGTGTTAAACATTGCAAGACAAGATTTTAGCAGTAAAAAAAAACAAAAAAAAAACACTTCATTGGTTTCTAATAATGTGAAGATTATACAAAAATGTAGTTTTTATATTCCAGAAGAAACATGTTCAAATCTAGCAGCTGTCACTAATGTCAAACATTTCAAAAAAAAAAAAAAAAAAAACTTCCCTCTGAAATATCAAATTCAGAACTATATTATAAACTAGCTTAAAAGCTGCACTCCAAGCAAACTTTTAAGCTAGTTCCTGTAGAGAGGCTAATTGAACCTCTGGCCTAAAATTAAAAGGACTTCTGGTTCAGCTTAGAAAATGGCAAGGATAATTTTGAAGAAATAACTTTGAATTCCTCAATTCATTCCATGAAACTTCAAATCCTCACTTTAACCAATTCAGGCGATAAGTCGTGATTCCTGCCAAAAGAGAGACTTAGGCTGAAAATGGAGTTCTTCAAATCACAATAGCCATGGAATTTCAAGACCTCATGTTATGAAACCTCTCATTTTAACTCTTTGGCATTTTGAAGAAATAAATAATTTCCTCAATTCACAAAGTTTTGGAGATATTTTAAACTTAATTTAAAACAATTTTTTTTAAAATTCAAAGTTTTTGTGTTACTTTAAATTATAAATTAAAAACTTAAAATCACTTTTTTTTTTTTTTTTTTTATACATACCTGTTGCACAAAAGCCGTAAATGCTTTTGTACTGTCTCTTCCAGCGGCTGGAGAGTGAAACATATTCACCCATTCTCTTAACAAGAATTCGGTTTTCTCATGAAGCCATGGAGGGTCATCATATTCTCTAGCTTGTGTAATTCCAGACTGCATCATTGAAGTCGGTCCACCAGGGGCTCGGTCCAGCAAGCCACTATCACTATTGTTACGCAGTGCTTCCACCAAGTGGGATAAACTGAAAAGTATATTGAAAAAATTAAATCAATATCTAAAACAGAAGAAAAATACAAACTTCCAGAAGAAGACTTATTTTGGCAAAAGAATTGCTAATCCATTTCATTTATGTCTCATGCCAAATACTTAAAACCAGTTTCCCTTTTTTTTTTTTTCTTTTTTTGCCTATAGACAGAATTGACAGTCATGGAAGAATATATCAAAGTTAAAATCTAGTAATTATGGAAGTTTTACAAGTAATATTGCCAAATTACCTAACTAGACAATTTTTTTGTAAATGAATGTGAGGATGGCAAATGTCAGATTCACAAAGTAAACATTCAGCAAAGGTTTCATTTTGATACTACAAAAAAAAAAAAAAAAAAAAAAAAACATTTAATCCCATGTAAACTTGGAATAAAGTGATTTTTCAACAAAGTATTGCCTGTTTAACAAAAATAGGTTAACTCACCCATCAGGTGGTTGGGGCCTTGGTCGAGAATGAATCATTAACAACATCTCAATTGTGTTGTGAAGATCAGCCTGGAAGAGAAAAGTATTAGGTTTTGCAGACAGTGAAATATTAACCGACTCAAAAGATCAAATAAACAGTAGAAAAAGTTTCAACAAAAGAATAATTTTTTAAATCCAATTTAAAAATTCAAAATATAGCTAAAAAGTTGTTGACAAAAGGCACACAAAGAAACTGGCTTTAAACTAGGCCAAATATGGAATATGAATAAACTTCCAGTTTATCAGTTTTTTTTTTTGTTTTAAATATTCCTTCCTGAAGGGAAAAGAAGGTTGCCAACAATAAAAAAAGAAATTTTTTTTTTTTTTTATAAAGTTCAATACTGATACATTTTTGTTAATTACAAATTGCCAATTAGTGCAACAGAATAGAAGGCATCTCCTTTAACATGGATTACATTTTAAACTGACTAAATATTTCAGCTTTAGAATTTGGGAGTGGTGTGTGTGTGTGTGTGTGTGTGTGTGTGTGTGTGTGTGTGTGTGGAACAGACTTTTTACAGAAAAACAGCAACAACATTCCAAAGAACCCAGAATAAGAAAACAAGCAATCTAAATTAGAAAGGATAAATTAAGACAGAAGTTAAAGAGTTCACTTACCTCAGTAACAAGACCACTTGCTTTTTCATCAACTACAAATTTCTGAACAAGTTGAATTGCAAACACCAACACAAGGAAATTCATTCCATTATCAATTTGCTACAAGAAAAATATTTTTAAACCTGATAATCACAAAACAATTTCTTTTTAAAAGTAAAAAATTGGGAGAAAATACACACAAACGAAATTATTTTAAATTGTCCATAAAAAAAAGTTGAATTTGATTATATGTAAATTATTGCCATAAACTCACCTGAGCAAGATACTGATCAAACTGCTGGATGCTTAAGAAATGATTTTTTAAAAGGTATTCCAATGCATCTAAATTGTACTTGATATCATCTCTGCAGTCAAAGACGGCTCTGTTTGGAAGACAAGAAAAATAAATATTTTATAACACATATATATATATATAAAAAAATATTTAAATCACTTGTTTAAAAGCTCAATCTAGATAATTATATTTATCTGTCTTTATCATACAGAACTAATAATTATATTTTCTGAGAGAAGTTGCTTGTGTAAGATTTTGGCTTAGGAAAAAATTTCTACAGGAAAAATTCAAATTATTTGGAAGATAAATAAATGATAGAGTAAAAAATATGAAAATTCAAAGATAAATATAATTTAATAAGACGAGTTATATGAAAACTTCTTGCAACATTTTGATGCAAACATTTTCCCTCTGCAAAAAGAAAATTAGCAGAATGTGCCATCGCAATCCCACTTACCTGGTAACTTGTTTTACTGTCCATTGATGTCCATAAACTCTGACATCACTAAGTCCTTTCAGTACATGCAAACAGCATTCACGGAAGCGCACCATATCAGCATCAGCCATATTGTTGGTATAATTCTCCAAGAGAGCTTCTACCACCTACAAAATTCAAAATGAGATTTTACAATTGCTCAAAATAAAACGACTACTACTACTGCTACTCTAACTCTGCAGTGGAAAGGAAAGTAATATTAATAATGCATTCTTTTTCGAGGCCTCTCAATTGCAATAACCTTATTGTTAATTTCACTCAAAAGGTGTTTTCTGTTGCCATAGCAGGATATGATGAAACAACTATGAAATTCAAATTCAGGTTTCAGAGTCATCTTCAGTGGCAGGATAAACTTTTTGCAAAGCAAATGAAATTACAGAGTGATAAATGTTAAGGCGAAAATTCACTTCAGCAATAAGAGCTAATATGCAAGAATATCATTCGTTTTACCTAAAATTATCAATTGATTATTTCTCCATAAAAGAGTTAACTTTTTCTGGTTTGGCATTTTTATTTAACCTAAGAATTCTAACGGTTAAAAACACTGTAAACAAATAAATGAAAGAAAGACCAAAATATTTAAATATATTATTTATTGCTATTTTGACAACAGATGCTGATATTTTTTTTTATTTTGTTTATTCTGTCAAAGTCTAACAGAATGTCAAGTTCCCAAAATTTACAATAACCTTTTAAAAGCTGTCCTGATTTAAAGCTAGATCTGAGGAGTTATCCAAGCATACAATTAAAAACAGAAAATAAGTTAAGCTCATTTAATATGAATAATTATAGCACTTAATAATTTTTGAAGTAACACTGATCAGCAAAAATTAGTTACAGGAATAAGTAAAAAAAAATCAAATTATCAATGAAAGTCATTAGTCATTCTTTCCAGACCTCTACACATTTGGTATAATCCTAAAATAAAAAAATCTAGTTAAAAAAAATGCTATGTATACATAATTTTTATTCTTATTATCTAAAGAACTTTTAAGAGACTTGTAACAATTGGGTGTTAGCAAAAAAGTATTTTTTACGTTATAAAAAATTTGATTTTCTATATGGATATATGGTTACTGCGACTATCTGCGACACACTTTTGCATATAAAATTCTATCAAATCAAAGCTCAGTAGCCAATTTTCAGTTTCGAGATAAAATAGTTTACATAATTTTAGAACAAATTCTTAATTTTAGTTAAAAAAAAAATTCTTTGTTAAACACAGATTTGAACTTTGTCCTATCATTTTGGTTGTTGTCACATTTTGGCCATTGTACATTTCAGCATTCTTAAGTTCCTGTTTCAGTTGATCACCTCTAAAAAATTTCAAGCTGAAGCCCCACCTTTTCTTTTCAATTCCCCAAGGTAGACTGTCCAGGTCAGAGGATTTCATATTAGTTAATTCAAGACTTGTGTAATCACTTGAATCTTTCATAGACTTTCTCGGTAACCAATCCAAATGAAACTCATGAGGACACTAAGGCCAAATAAATCATTAAATAGTGGACATTGAAAATGAATTCTCAATATAATTAAAAACAAATACCAAGGAGAATGAATTTACCTTTTGTACAAGAGCAGATGATGAAGGAACATCCCTATTTGTTCTGGCCATAAGAATAGCATCAATGATCGATTGTAAATTCATTCCCAAATTCAAGTTTGCAGATGAAACACTGCTCAACATTTGCTGGCTGTTCTGTTCAATGTCATGAATTACTTTGTCAAACACTTGACCCATTCCATCAGGATAGGACTAGAAGTTAAAATAAATAAAAAGTAAATTTTAATCCACAATTTTTCTAATAATTATTTAAACCAAATTATAAAGATTTCTTTTCAAAATGAATCTTAAGTAAATGGAGACGGGAAAAAAAAAAAAAAAAAAAAAAAAAAAAAGCTACTTACAGGAATAGATTTTGCTATACCAGGTGGTACTTGGGCTTCACTGACAGGCAAGAATCCCGGAATATTACGAGCAAACTCATCATATACAGCAACTTGTTGAGGTGTTACACCTCCAACCTAAAAGAATTTGATTAGCAGAAAGTGTTTCACTTAATTATAGATTTCAATTCTCAAAAATTGATTAAAAAAATGAAAAACAAAATTACACAAGGATGATAAAAAAAATCCATTTATTCAAAAGTTAATTCTTAAGAAAAACGTTTTTCTTATAGATATTAACAGAATTTGTAAGATGTACAGTTTTGTATGTGCACAATTTTGGTCAGTTCAGAAATTGACAGCAAACAAAATTGTTTTTTTCCTTTGAAGATTTACTTTTGAGATATATTTTCCTAAATACAAAAGTATTATGGTTTATAGAACTTCAGGTTTAACAGACATGAAGGGCTGAGCAATTAATAAATTGTCAGTCAGAATTTGATTAACCATATCAACTGTGGCCGCAAGTCATACTGATCTCATGTATGATTGGATGTTAGGGTGACAAAAATTTATCACTCAATTGCGATACAGAAATGCAAGGACAGAAATTCCTGTTATGCAGAGTTTATTAAAGAGCCATGAAGTTAAAGATGTATTTTAAATAATCCAGAAACTTAAAAATACTCATTCAATAAATTTTAAGTAGGAATTAGGGAACACATCTTCATGAAAATTTATATTCTTTCTTACCCGTAATCTTATTTGTTCAGGCATTCTCTCTGCTTGATAAGTCAATACTACAGGATCACAGTAACGCCTTCCCTCTCCTCGTGCATGACGTCGTAATTCAAATTCCTAGAAGCAGAGAAAAGAAAAATAATTTGTTGATCCCTTCAGATGAGATAAAGATATTTTAAAGACAAGGATGGGCGTTTTACTTGAATTACAATTAATCATAATATATTGGTTATCATGTCTTGTAATATAATGAGACTAGGTTAAAAGTTCAAAAGATTCACTTTCAAAAGTGCTGAGACTATAACAGGCAATATTAAATGTATTTATGCATTTCTTTGACCCACCAGAAAAAAAAAGAAAAGAAAAAAATCATCAAGTGAGATAACATTAGCTTGCACAAATTTGTAATAGAGGTTAAATTATTTTTCTGAAAAGTTTAGATTGACAAATTCAACTTACAGTAGATAATCTTCTATCCATTTCTGGAAGTGCCTTTTCAACTGCACTTTTCTGAATGATTGCTGAGGCCAATTCTGTATTATCTTGTGCTAATTGCGTGGCAGCTTGGTCAATCAACTCTTTTTGATTCTGATTGGGATTCTGAACAGAAAAAGAAATCAGTATTTTTAAATTTATAAACCAGATCTTGCAGTCTTAAAATTAAAATCTTAGAGAAAGATTTCCAAGAAATAAGAGTTCCAAACATAGAAAAATATTTTCCAAAAGTCAGCTATATTCAATCAATAAAAGTTTTAGTTTTTTTTTTTTTTTTCTTAACTAAAAATATTAAAGATTTCTGAAAAACTTTTTGATGTAATTACAATCTCTAACAATAGTCATTTATAAAACAAAAAAAGAAAAATAAGTATAAAAATAGAAAAATAAGAATAAAACAAAAAGAAAAAGTAAACTTTTCCACAAAAGAAAAATTTAAAATGAAAACAAAACTGACATTTTTAGCCAATGCTTTAATCTATCTGGTTTGTTGGTAATTGTGAGGTCAATCACTGTGTCGAGTAGTGCCATCATATACTCCAATTTAGTATAAGAAATGGATACGCGACATGAAGATAAATGGATTGAAAATTATCAATTGATACAAGATGACCCCAAAATTAGAGTTTTAAAATTCTTAAATGTTTTCTGAATCTATTTCCATTTATTACCATGTTGGAATTTGTTTTACAGTTTAACATGTCTTGGTTATGATATTCACATTTTAGCTGTTTCTCAGAAGGTTGAACCCATTCTTACATTCAATTCACTCGGGGACTAGAATATTCTCATATATATATATATATATATATATATATAGTGTGTGTAAAAAGATATAATTAGTTATTACAATAAATAGGAATAGATTCAGAATTTTAAAATCTTCATTTTTGTAAATTGTCAAGATACAACAATGCAAAATGCATGTGAAACTTAAGCTAAAAATTAATGAAATCTTTAAAAGATAAAAAAGTGAAAATATTCCCAGCCTTTAATCAATCTCTATTTCAGTGTCCCCCCCCATCTTATTTAATTCTGCAAATAATTCCACCATATCAAATTAGAAAACCAAATATACTTACTCTCAGAACATTCAAAAATGCTTGTTTTAAATGCGTGCTCAGAGCAATGTAGACTGGTTCCCGACAAGTGATAAGTGTTAAACCAGCAGTCATACTGCAAATCATGTTTTGAGCAGCAGTACGCATTCTGTTTTCCTCAGGATCTAAAGCAAAATCCTGCAAGTAATAAAAAATAAAAATTGATAAGCAATCCTAAAAAATATAAAAATCTACAATAAGAGAAAATATTTTTTATTGCCCTATTATTTAATATTATAGTTACTATAATAAAAAAAAAAAAAATTTGATCAAATCTTTAATGTATTTAAGTGTTTCTGTTCATGCCTTTAAATTTATTAAAGCTAAGATTAAGCGGTATTTATGGTTGAATTTCAAAAAAGTGTAATGAATACTAACAGATTTTACAAGTTGATTCAATTTGTCAAATTAGGCATTCATTAAAATTGAGCATATATGTTAATTATTTTTTCTGGTATGCAATTTCTGGCTTTAATAAAAGTCAACAGAGATAAAATTTCCAAACAAATCCTGTCTGGATTCAAATGCCCAACCTGAAAGTGACCAGGTATGCAAGATATCCACTATATCAATGTATTTTTGCTTTAAAAATATTGGAGAAAAAAAAAAAAAAAAAAAAAACAACTTGTAATTATTAGAATGCACAGAAACTACAGTGAGCCTAGAGTACCACTTTAGGTAGAAGCAATTTTTTTTGTTCTGTTTATATATTTAAAAAAAAAAAAAAAACTTGCATAAGCATGACTTACGCCATTTTTTAAGGTGTGCTTTGTTACTACATTACAGCACCTGTGTTTTATTTCTCCTTGTTTGCTCCCTTTTAACTTACATACATTTTAGATCACTTCTTTAGTCCATAGAAAGTATCAGAGCCTGCAGAATAAATGACAAGATTCAGGCATGCAGTTCCCACTTTTTCTATCCTCCAACTTCTAAACCCAAATGAGTGCATTACCAGTATGTAACAGGTTTTCTTCCTATAAATGTTGGACTTTTAATATCCCATTATTATTTGATCATTTCTTTAATGTAATCACTGTGTAAAATTATTTTGATAGCTGTACTTTGTCAAGTGGAACACTTATTATGCATTAATATCCATCACATAATATATTTTATTGCAAGTATAATTTCCTTATTTTTGGTAGACTAAATTATTGTAAATTTTAAACATAATTCTTGTCACCAAAACTACTTATTACTCTCCTTTTCTTCCTTAGACCCTCAGTTATGTTTCTTCTTTCTCTCTCACCTTTCCTTATTTATCTCATTTTGTTATTCAGATTAGTCTCAAGTTGGTTTTATTTTTTTTTTTTAGTTTCACTCTTTTGGGTGAAAGTGTCTTTAGAGTCTTGATTACTGGAGGTATATGCACAAGACTGATGCATATCAAGTGAGTGCATATGCAAAGAATGAGTCATTTCCCCAGTCTTACCTTCTTTGTTATTTGTTCACAAGTTGTAAGAGCAATTTTAATAGATCTATCAACAACTGGTGGTAACAATTCATGAATTGCTCGTTCTATTGCAGGACGGACACACTGCTTTAGTGTCTGGTGAGTATGGAATAACAGTATCTACAAAGGAAAGGAAAGTCTTAGTTGCAAAAACAGAGTTTAAGATTTTAAAAATACATACTTTCTGTAAACAGCTAATTGGAAAAAGATTTTTCTTTTTAACTTTTTTTTTTCATTTCATAAGTTGGTTAAAAAAAAAGTTGCTGAAAGCAAATTATTCTGCTGCAAATCAAAGATTTGCATATTTATAACTTAAGTGTTTTATAATCAGGATGAAGAGGGGAGGGAAGACAAGAAAAAAAAAGATTTAACCACTTTAAATAGATTTAACAGTGGTTAATTTTTTTTTTTGTCTTCTGTCCCCTTTTCGTCTTTATTGTAAAAAAAAGTACAAGGGTAGATCAAAAAGTAAAGTCAATTTCCACTGATGAACAAATGCACGTCCCTTTTGAACAGTACCCCTTGCATGGCAATGCACTTCTGGAATTGTTCAACAAGCTCCTTTATCCCTTCCAAAAAGAAGTTTTTAGGTTGATCACAAAGCCACACTTGTTGTTTGGGCATTCAACATCTACAAACTTTACAGCACCACCAGCCATTATTGAACTATGACTTTTGCCGATTCATAGCTGATCCCCATGATTGCTGCCATTTGTGCTAATGTGAGAGTCATTGGTCTTCCTTGATCAAGATATTTACCTTCTGGATGTGCTCTTCCATGTACACTTGTCCCTTCACACTTTAAAAGCATTTTACCCATTCATACAGATTATGTTGATTAATGGTGTGTGTGCTACAATAATGCATCAACATCCAGTAATGAATTTCCGCAGTTTATACTCACTCTGCTCACATAAAAACCCGCTACAGTATATCGTTCCTTGATGGTGCAATCACCAAGTGGAGCATCCATACATATAACCTTGTTGATCACTGCCACTGATGAAGGAATGTTGCACACAGCTAAGTAATAGTCATCCTGTGCGCACACGATTTTTATGCATCAACAACGATCCATCATTGTTTTTTTTACAATTTCAAAATTGCCTTTACTTTCCAATTTACCCTACAATCCAAAAATATAATTCTACTTGCAATGTGTATTCAAGTGTCAAATAAATCAATAATCAAAATGTGCATATGAAATATCACTGACCAACATAATTGAAATTATTTAACAATATTATTAGATAAAGTATTTTAAGCTATCTAAATATTTGATAAACACGATGCACGCATATATATATATATATATATATATATATATACACACACTTAAAATCTAACCTTATTTCATTGAATAATAGAAATGCTAATTTCCTTACCTGATCACTGATGACAATTTGATGTCCAATTCCAGAAGCCAAATTGCTGACATCTTGAAACCTGAACTGTGGCTGTTGTGGCATTTGAATAGTAGATGCTGTTGTTGTCGTCGTAGTCGCCATCACTGTTGGTGTCCCAACAGTAACAATAGCAACTGGTATCTCATCCTGCTGAGGAGTTCCACTTGGAGGTTTTACTGCAGGAGCAGATAATTGATTTTCAATTGTGCTCAGTCGTGATAAGTCCTTCAGATAACTGGTTGCCTTAAGTTCCTAGAAAGTAGAAATAAATACAAAAATATTATGTAAAACATTATTTTAAGTGAGTTTATGGACTGCCATGTTGCTAACATGTCCACAGCCTAATGATGAAGAGAAGAGAAAAATGTTTCCAACTATTTTTCAACATTATTCAGCAGAAAATATTGCCGAGATAAAACATTATACAATGAAAATTTCAGATTAAAATTCAGCTAATAACTGTATCAGATTATGGACACCTTCATAAAACACATCAAAACAGTGTAACAATTAGAAGCAGTTTCATGAAACTACCTACTTGCAGATTAGTCATTATGACTGAAAAATCCATTTTAGAAATTAGTTACATACTAGCAGTAAGTTAAGAACATCTAAAATGCTATTCAATTTCAGAATAGAAAACAAAATCTAGAATCTATTGTTCTGTTCAGAGATGAGAAGAAATTACATTTTTAGTTAAAACTGGAGTGGAATAGGGTTTCATAAGATGAAGAAAGTGCTAGAAAGTTTTACATGTACCTCATAAAATAGCTTTCTGTTACTGTCATGTTTGAATTTAATTTTTTTTTTTTTTTTTAAATGTAAAATGAAGAATTAAGAAAGTAAATTAAGAAAATTTGTCAACAGTATTTCATGAAAGCTGAATCCTTACAATTCAAATGGCATTCAAACATTCCCACAGATGCATGTTCAATCAAAACTACATTTGCTACAAAAGCCATAATTTATATCATTATACAGTAGATAACAATGGGCTTTACCAGGAAAATGAAACAAGTTGTAAAACTTCATCATTCTTGCCAACCATTACTTCAATGGTTATTGGTTTATTTTTCTTCAAAGAATTAAAATATATTTTTCACTTTAACAAGCAAATCATTATCTTCATAAATTATTCCATGATTAATCCTCTTCTTATTTAGCCACATCTATAAACTGGAAGACCACCATTTAAGACGAAATGTAATTGATAAAGGAAACAAGTTTTATTGATTTAAGCATTGGGTTCGTTCAAAAGTCATAATCTGTTGCCTATAAATTTTACTGCCAACTACCATAGCCGAGTTTGGCTCAGACCACATGCAGTCAGGTTTTAAATCTCCAATTTTCTTCTCACATTTAGACAAACTGGAAAAATCTTATCCTTGTCAATTAAAACAAATGTTCCAGAAAGTAGATAATATGTGTAGAGTTCCATTATCTATCAATGATTCTTATTAAGATGCATTTATTAAGCAGAACCCTTATTCTAATTAGATGTGTCTCTTCTGTAAAATACTTGGTTAATACAGATTATGTGAATGAGAAAAATCAAATCAATAATGAATAAGATAAAGAAAATAAATTAAAAAAAGCTGAGAGAATAAAGTTCAAGACACATTGCTATCACAAGGTCTTGTACATGATTTTCAAATATTCCAGTTAGAAATACTTTTTTAAATTAACATTAATGCTTAATTATAAAAGAAAATCCAAGTCATTACTTACTGAAATGTCCAAATGTAGAGTCTTGCACAGAACTTCAATCTCAAATTTCAAATTCAGTTTTAGATCTTGTTCCTGATGTAATTCTGCAAGTACATTCATTGCAGCCATTGTCCATGGATTTGGTGGCTTGAAAACCTATTGCAAGTGATGAGAAATTAATTGGATTGACAAGACTTAGAAAAACAATGAAAAATTACAGTTATTCAAGAGAATATACTGTCATCAGAGTTGGAAATGTATTGCATATGCATGTTTATCAATATAACATTTGGCTTGGAAACAGAACATTTTCTTCTCAAAAGGAATTTATTTTCATTTGGTCTGCACTCCAAAGCAAGACATTCTCATTAACAAACATGTAATCATTAAGTAGATTAAAAGGATTTAAAACAAAATACCATGCAAAGAAAGATTTTGCTTTATATTATTTTACAAATTATTTTTACAAGATTTTAATATCATATCCAAAGTATAGCTTATAGTCTATCAGCATTTGATAAGACATAAATGATAGTTGTGCAAGAAGCTTGTATTCAATATTAATTCAACATCACCCTCGATTTTAAAATTATCAAAAATTCTATCCAATTAAAAAAAAAAAACAAAAAACAAAAACAAACAAACCTTACCTTGCTCTTGGCACATGATTGAAGAACTTTGGCTGTAAATGGCACAACATATAATAGTTCTTGGGCCCCTTTATTGTAAGCTTCATAAAGCAAGGCTTTCAAATCAATATCCTGGAATAATAAGAGTATAGAAAAAAAAATAATTCATTTGATGATCAATTTTCAATATTCTAAAATTGTTAAAATATATCAATTGCTAACCAAAGTTAAATTATGAGACGTAACTGGGGAAAAAAAAAAAAAAAAAAAAAAAGCTAAATATACTTACTATTTGTAAAATTGGCTTGTTTTTTGCTAACGTAAGCATTCCAAGCCAATGCCCTAAGTTCTTTAGTAGAGATCTGTCTGAGAAATTTGCAACACCTTTATCACTTCGTAGCAACACCTATAAACAGAAGAGCATGCATAATTTGAATCATTTTACTGTAAACATGGACAATGCTTAAAATGATTTTTTTTAAGAGTTGTTTTGTGATGATTTTGAATTAAAAAAAAATTTAAAACTGATTATCTTTGTTACTACAGAAATGAGAATTTATAACATTTACTTAAAGTATAAATTCTTAATTTTTGAGATGTTAATTAATAACCAAAGACCTACATTCATGAAGGAAGGACAAATTTTTGAGTAAATGCTATTTACTAGATATTCTTCCTTGTTAAAAACAATTTTCTTTAAAAATAAAATACATGGTTTAAGTTTTCATTCTGTAAAGCTTAAATCAAAAACTATGCTAACCCACTGTCTCAAAAAGAGGTAATGTTTTGAATTTCTAAGCATAAATTAGAGATAATAATAATAATAAAAAAAAAAAATAAAAAATCATCACCTTTATATTTCTAAATGTTTCTTTCAAAACCATTGAGTAGAAGTTGTTGATCTGAAGAACATCAACAAAATTGGCATATAAAACATGAAAGTTTGGTTCAATGCTTGCTCTTTTCATCACCATATACATAGCAATCCATGGAACATACTCATCTGTTACATGCTCCTGCAACTCCTCCGCCTAAAAAAGAAAAAGAAAATTATGCAAAATTATTAACAAAAGAACATTGTTACAAGTCTAAAGACTTTCATAAATAATCCTAAATAAATTTTACTCTATTTAAAAACCTTTCATAAATAAATAGATAATCATAAATAAATAGAAATAGATAATCATAAATAAATAGAAATAGATAATCATAAATAAATAGAAATAGATAATCATAAATAAATAGAAATAGATAATCATAAATAAATAGAAATAGATAATCATAAATAAATAAAGAAATAGATAAATAAATAAATAGAAATAGATAATCATAAATAAATAGAAATAGATAATCATAAATAAATAGAAATAGATAATCATAAATAAATAGAAATAGATAATCATAAATAAATAGAAATAGATAATCATAAATAAATAGAAATAGATAATCATAAATAAATAAAATAGATAATCATAAATAAATAGAAATAGATAATCATAAATAAATAGAAATAGATAATCATAAATAAATAGAAATAGATAATCATAAATAAATAGAAATAGATAATCATAAATAAATAGAAATAGATAATCATAAATAAATAGAAATAGATAATCATAAATAAATAGAAATAGATAATCATAAATAAATAGAAATAGATAATCATAAATAAATAAATAGATAATCATAAATAAATAGAAATAGATAATCATAAATAAATAGAAATAGATAATCATAAATAAATAAATAGATAATCATAAATAAATAAATAGATAATCATAAATAAATAGAAATAGATAATCATAAATAAATAGAAATAGATAATCATAAATAAATAGAAATAGATAAATAAATAAATAGAAATAGATAATCATAAATAAATAAATAGATAATCATAAATAAATAGAAATAGATAATCATAAATAAATAGAAATAGATAATCATAAATAAATAGAAATAGATAATCATAAATAAATAAATAGATAATCATAAATAAATAGAAATAGATAATCATAAATAAATAGAAATAGATAATAAATAATCATAAATAAATAGAAATAGATAATAAATAATCATAAATAAATAGAAATAGATAATAAATAATCATAAATAAATAGAAATAGATAATAAATAATCATAAATAAATAGAAATAGATAATAAATAATCATAAATAAATAGAAATAGATAATAAATAATCATAAATAAATAGAAATAGATAATAAATAATCATAAATAAATAGAAATAGATAATAAATAATCATAAATAAATAGAAATAGATAATAAATAATCATAAATAAATAGAAATAGATAATAAATAATCATAAATAAATAGAAATAGATAATAAAAATCATAAATAAATAGAAATAGATAATAAATAATCATAAATAAATAGAAATAGATTCATAAATAATCATAAATAAATAGAAATAGATTCATAAATAATCATAAATAAATAGAAATAGATTCATAAATAATCATAAATAAATAGAAATAGATTCATAAATAATCATAAATAAATAGAAATAGATTCATAAATAATCATAAATAAATAGAAATAGATTCATAAATAATCATAAATAAATAGAAATAGATTCATAAATAATCATAAATAAATAGAAATAGATTCATAAATAATCATAAATAAATTTTACTCTATTTAAAAACCAACAGTTACCTTTTGCACCATATTTGACATGGAAAGATTGTTGAAAATGAAGAAAACTTTGTCTTGAAAGGCTTCTGGTGGAACGGCAATCTCTTCTTTCTGTTGACCGGCAAGAAGAGTGTCAATATTTGTAGCATTTGCTATTGATGGCTGCAATTAAGAAAATGACAATATCACTAATTTCATGGATTCACAATACATTGGTTATTTATTTTATAACAATCATTTTCTAACGTCTTTCAATATGAACACTTGACAATATTAACTCCTTTGTTTTGGCTTTCTGTTAAAATCATGGTGGATTTTAATGTAACAATGAAAAGAGACAACATAGAAGATAAAACTCTCTGGAATATCAAAGCACTAGGCTGTAGTTAATTCCATAATCCTTACATATTGTATTATATATATTTCCAGCCATTCAAGATCAAATCAGCCACTGGTAAAACCAGTGAGAAATAACAATTACAGGCTGAAGCAAGAACTTGTAAGGAAGAGAGATTTCTTTTACACAAATATTCTTATGATCTTCAAAACCGATTTTACACAATTTGAAACATGGACAACACTTAAAACAATCCTATAAGTCATTTTGTGATGATTTTGAATAAAAATCAAATTAAAACTGATTATCACTACAGCATTTAGAATTTGTGTAACATTCACTAGACATAAATCCTGAATTTTGAGATAACTAAATAACCTGGTTGTAATTGGATGGAATGAATTAACCATTTAAATACATTTTATCTATTTTTGTTTTTAATATTTTTTGTTATTAACCATAGAATGAAGAGAGCCTTCAAACAAAACCAATGCCATCAGAATCAAATTCTGTTAGCTTTGGAAAAATTGGCAAATTATCTAATTACTAGCAGTATAACCCGTCTTCGACCGGGTCTTTCATTACTGGGAATTTTTGCCATTCAATTGGAGCAATTTAAGTTTAAAGTTAGCCCACCCAAAAATCAATATTAGTAACAACAATTGGGTAATTGGGTGCAACTGAGGCACATCTCCAAATAAAAGAGGGGTAACAATTTGAACGGGGGAGTGGCCATGAAAAGAAGGGCAGTTTTTGTGTTTCAGCCTTGCATGCAGAAGCATTCAGATGAAAACTGGAAATGCATAAACAACATCTGATCACACACACACATTAAGAATTATAGATACTAATTTTTTCCACTGCCCAAAAGTTATATTATTTTCAAAATAACTAAAAAGTAAAGATTTCTCCAAGATTACAAAGAGAAAGTTCTTTTCAATACACAAAACAGATTCTATAATAACGTTTTTTCCGAATTTCAAAATGGGTTTGAATAAACTTTACCTTTGGTATCGTCCCAGCTTTAGCAATTGAATTTGAAGTAACCGGATTGGCAGAAACTGATGCAGTAGTGGAAGGAATAGATAATGGCTGCATATTCTTTGGTGCATTTGGTGCACTTGTTGGAACAGGTGCTGGCGCAATGTTGGCAACTGTAGGTGTGATACTTCGGTTGGCTTGTGAATGGACAGGTGGCTCTTGGGATGTAGCACCAAACTCTACATACTGAAAGAGAAACCAATGTCATGGTCAGATTTGAAAGAAACCGAGAAGCTAATAAGGAATTAAATTCTTTACAATTTGAAAGATTAAAATATTTCATCTTCTCCAAAGTAGTTGTAAAATTCTAAACAACTTAGAGAATCCCACTTTAAAATCAGCTCAAATAACTTTTCATTTGTGATATAAGTCAATAGTCATGTTCATAAGATGATAGTGTAACATTGTGTATATAGAATAAAAGGAGAATAATTTATGGTTGAGGATTAAAAGAAAAAGTCTAACCAGTAAACAGTTAAGCAGGTTGTTGAAAATGATTTCTGAAATACAATATATTTAGCAGGGTCAGTTGATGATCACAAGTCCCTTGAGAAAAAAAAAAAAAAAAAAACAAATAAACTAAGCAGGATGTGGTAAGGTTTTTTTCTTTCTGAAATTTCTGAATGGACTGATCAGCAACTAATGAGAAGGTAACATTTCCTATATAGAGAAAAAAAAAAAAAAAAAAAAAAAGTGTTCTACCCTCAGTTTCTTCAGCAAGTTTTTGGCTTGATAGCAAACAGATGAGGGTAGGGAAATTCTCTCGCTCAATGTACCTGCTATGTCAATGATAAGCAGTTAGTAACATTTCCTTTTGGAGAAGGACTATACAGACCCCATAGTGTTGTGCTATTTATTATTACAAAGGATACCCTCTGCTTTGTGAAAAGATAACTTTTGACTCTCAGTGAGAAACCATGATGGTGCAATTCTGAAGTATTAGCCTGAAGACAGCCAATGTGACTCATTGTGAAGCAACGACCATAGTTTGCTTAACACTGATTAAAGCCACATAGGATAACGTGACAATGCAACAATAGAAAATACAATTGAATAACAGTTAAATTTGGCTTAAAATTAGTTTTGGAAGCATTGCATAATTATTAATCTTATCTAAAAAGATGGGAGATTTGGCTTTAAGTTAAAAATAGGTTTAAGAATGAAACATTTACAGTGAATCCTGTCAAGCCAAAATAACAAAAAGCATGTACAAGAACAATGACAAAAATCAAAGAAAAACAAATTTTAAATGTATTGATAACATGAAATTTTTTTGAATTATCGGAATTTCCACCCTCATGTCAGAAATACCAAACTTCCTAACAAAATTCAATAAAATATTCTGATATTAGTCTATCCATCCCAAGAACAAATGACATGAAAATTATGATTGTTGTACAGTTCTTTCATAGAATTGGCCTTTAATCACTTGCCATCATAAAGATTGTGGAACAGTTCAACATTAAGTTATTTTCTTTGCACAGAAAAATAAAATGTTAGACATAACCTTTAATTTAAGGAAATTTCAATAACACTGATCCTTGTCACTGCTTCAAAACTCTTTCATAAAACCAAGGCATCTTACTAAATGGTTAAAATAACACAGAGCCAACTTTTATATTCACTACTAGCATAGACATCAAGCAGTGACAACCAGTCTAAGAGATGGAAAGTTCTGAATTTAGTTCTCATGTAAATGGGGAAACCTCTCCAATATCTTTCAAGAATGCATGGCAATTCAGATTAGAAAAAAAAATCTGGAGTCATGACTGCCTAATGTCTTGGATTTTATGAAAAAAAGTTTTAAAGCAAAAACAATAGAGTTGTTTCAGTTGTTAGAAATAAACTTAGATAAGTTTGTATCATCTTTCTTTATAATACTAAAAGTCTGAACTTTGCTTGCTTGTGTGTTTGCCACCATGCACACAGTCATATATAGAGAGTGGGGGAAAGAAATATGTAAATTGATAATGTGATTTAAAAATATTTTAAGCGAATAAGATTTAAAAATACAAGTTGTTTATACAGCATTTTTTATTTCAACTTCTTCTTAAAGACTATTTTAATGTTGAAATCAACTTCAATGTTTTATACCCTGAATTGTCAGTGACCCAATGGGTCATTGGTTGTCTAGTACTATATAAATCCTGAAACATGGTAAAAAAAAAAAAAAAAAAAACAAAAAAACAAAACAAACAACAACAACAAAAGTAGGTTGTTTTGAAATTAATCATAAAAGAAGAGAGGAAGCGGGGTATGTAACATTATCGATTGGCATAATAAATCCTCCTATAACTCATGTAATTCATACAGGATATATTGACAAAAGACTCACATCAATGAGATGCTGTGGAAACTGTAAAAAATGTTGAATAGCAGCAACATGTTGACAGTACTGAGGATAATCCTTTAATCTGAAAAAGATTAAAAAAAAATTTAAGTTACATCTGACCAAAATAAAACACTTCTCATGATAAACACCTTAGTTAAAAATTCATCAGTTTTAGCAAACAAAATTTTCAGTTTTATATTTAAAATACACCACTCAATGAACATACATAAGAACTAAATGTATTTGTTTATTTCAATGTAATATTTTATCTTACCAAGAACATGATTCTGATCACAAAACTTACCTAGTCTTAAACTTGTCCAAAGCTGCAATTCCAAAATAGTACATCTTGCTACCATGTGGTTTGCGAAGAGCTTCCAAAACATATCTAAGAGCAATTCCTAATGACATGTAACTAGAAAAAAAAAAAAAAAAAAAAACAGCTGATAATTTGAGTTAAATAAGCATAAAATTTGAAGGGGGGGGCACACAAAGTTCTCGGCCCAACCAAACATCACATATCTTTTCATGGCTGGATCAAGATTTTACATCAGAAATGGTAATTTTTACAATTAAAGTGAAATTTTATTTACATTTTGTAGCTCAAGAATAAAATCTTTAAATAGTATCTAAAATTTCAACAAACAAAATTACATATTGTTATGAAGAAAAAATTAAAAACTTTTCAATGCTTATAGCCTGATAAGTGTGCAAATATTAATAGAGACTTTAATATTAAATGAACATTGCTAACAATGAAAATTACAGACTGAGGGAAAATGAAATATTTCTTAGCTATGGTTAAAAGCTTCATTATTAATCTTGCTCAATACTGTGGACAATTCAAATTCTATTGAGTTAAAAATTTGATTTTAGTTCATTTTACTGGTCTCCTTTATCCTAGTGGAATTTGAAGCTTGTAAATGTTTTTCATGTTGCAAACATCAGTACTCATTTTTAATAAATTTAAATTGCTAGGATGCTATATAGAGACAAAGAAAATACATACGTCACTAATCCTTGCTCAATGATACCACCAAAAAGAACTGCCGTAATGTGAAGTTCTCGATCAGGATATTGAGGAAAGAAACAATATTCTTCAAAAAGGTTACGAAGCATGCATGTGCAGACGTCCTATTAAATAAATAAAAAAAAAATCTTACTATTAATAAATCTATAAGACAAGGAATTTTAATATAAAGGGAAATCAACTTTCCCAAAATCCAGAAAAATTGGCAGAATTTTAACTATAAAGATTTATTACTGCTAAAAATACAGCACTTGAAATTCAATTATCATGGATTATTAAATTTTGCATTAAAAAAAAAAAAAAAAAAAAAAAAAAAATTACAAAATAATTTATAAAATTATTTCCCAAAATAGGCAAAGTTAACTTGCTAAAAATCACAACTTTTTTTCAGGTTTTAAATGATGCAAGCTTTTAAAATACTTTACCCGTTCCCTTTTGTTCTGAGAGTCTCTGAATCTCTTGAGCATTTCCAAAACTTCATCAATAGATAAAACCTGGTGAGGAGGCTGGTTGTAAATCTTTTGGAAATAAGAATTAGCTTCATCTTCTACACTTTTACTGAAGTGTTGACTGCTATCAGGAAATATATTTAAATCTCCTGGAAAAAAAGTGATACAAAATAAAATCATTTTATAAAAAGGTAAAAGCATTTTTTTTTTTTTTTTTTTAAATTCACACACACACAAAATGAAACTTACATCATAGACTATGAGAAAGTATAAATTAGAAATAATGGATTTAAATGCAACAGTATAAACTTATTTTATCATTCTGAATATTGAACCCAAAACATTGCTCAATATTTCAGACTTTGAAAAATTAATTGAAGTAAATATTAATTGAAATTAAATGATCATGTTATTTAAAATTGATGGGAAAAAAAAAAATCTGAACTGAAAAATTCAAAGTAATCTTACCCATGAAAATTTTGTTATCCAAGTTTTGTTGCTGCTGTTTGAGTGGTGTCTGTGAATTTAGAGATCCTAATGTGTTTATCGGATTTCTACTAGGTACCATTGGTGTTAAGTTAAAATCTGCAATTAGAATTGTATATATTTTCATTTCGCTTTCCCGATTTTGTTGAGCATTAGAGACAATCTAGGCATAGTGATACAGCAAGTTCACTGTATCTTAATATGAATTCTGATCCGGGGTGGGAAGAAAAAGGTCAAATTGTTAGAAATAACATTAACATGACTTACTTTGCAACTGACTTGTCAGAGCCTGAATTGAGCTGTAGCCTGGTTGAGCCTGATTTATTTCTGGGAACCCCTTGGGTGGTGAGCCAGGAGCAGCAGCAACAGCTGCAGTACTGAGGGTGGCCAGACTTTGAGGGAAGGCCGCACTCACTGCAGCAGGAGTGCCCATAGCTAACGCACCCATATTATTCATGGAATCCATCTGAAAGCAAACAAAAAGTCCACTTAACAAAAAAAAAAAAAAAACAAAGTTCATACACAATGTAGGCAGCAAAGAGTTTAGAATTATATTAAAAGAGAGATTAAAAGAATTTTAGTTCATATTCACATCCCACCACAAGACCTCAGATTTTTCTCTTTTTTGCATGCTTACTAACTTAATTTCTTAAAAATGATTAGAAATTTTATGAAAAATCTTTTCTAACAAGTTTCTGGAAATGTTGACCATAGATATACATTCTTAAACTGCTGATATATAAAAGCAATAATAATTTCGACACAAAAATGAATGGTCTGTTCAGCATAAACTAATTGAAGCTTTTAAAGATTAATAAAAGAATTCCAACATAACCTTTAGCACTTTGCAGTATTAATATGACTTCCCTTTCTACTGCATTCTTTTTCAAGGCTTCTCAATTGCAGTAACCTTATTGGTAATTTCACTCAAAAGTGTTTTCTGTTACCATAGCAGGATATGACAACACAACTATGCAATTCAAACAAATTCAGATTCAGGAATCAGAGTCACCTTCAGTAACAGGATAAAGATTTTGTACAGTAAATGAAATCACAGAGTGATAAAGGTTAAAAAGGAGCAGTGGACAAACTACAGATTTTAAAATTATATACAACCTTTTAAGAGAAACTGCATTCATATTTTATATTCCTTCTTAATTTGAGTATAAAAATAAAAAGTCAAAAAGTTCTTACATTAACAATAACCGGATTTGGTTGGCCTGTAGTAATCCCAGTTTGATTTAGCTTTGCTCCAACAACTCCAGGTGGAATCTGCCTAGCTTTGTTCATTGCCAGATTTGCATTGGCAACCATTGTCAAAATCATCTCAGATAAATCATGAGAAGTAATTTGACTGAAAAGGAAAATAATATCATAAGCACAAGAAAATAAGAAAATAAACAAATAAAGACAATATAAAAATACATCTTTCAGCCATTAGCTTTAACTCAATGATTTTGCCATAATATGGACATTTTCAATATTTTTTCTCAAGTTTTATCCAATAATTTTCATTGTAACACATTGAAAGCAATTGTTAAAAGCAAATAATTTTTCTTCATTTTCAGCAGCTTCCACAAAAATTTATTAAAATCAAAATTATTTTTAAGCACCACAAGCACCATTTTTATTTTTTATACATTGACCAAGTTTCTCATTTCTTCAAATTAACAAGTGATTAATCAAGTAGTCAATGTTTTTAATTTAATAAAATCACACCAATCTCATTAAACAAATGTAAGTAATTTAATGTTCTACAAACTGTACAAGTCAACAGTCAAAGTAATTTTCTGTACAAGTTCTAGCATACTGGTATCAAATGACTTTGCCTCACTAAATAGTTTTGTAACATATTACATCATATCGAGAGTGTTGCCATATTTCTTGTGAGAGGATAACGGTTACTGCATTTGCTTCATTTTTTTCCCCTTCAGATCCAACATAGGGCTCATTTCACACAGAAATGAGAATGAGCACCCCAATACTCGACAATGAGTTTCGCCAACAATGACAAATACATGACATCATTGCGAATAATGCAGGAAGTTCCACAAACGGTGAGGCTTTGAGAGGTGATATTTATGGAGCAGGTTTGACAGTGTTGAATGTTAAAGAATTAAATCAAAAATAGGTGGCTGAAAGATTTAAAAGTAAAATCAAATTGTTAATCCTTTTTAATTTTTTCTATTTTCAACTAAAGCTTGCTACAAAGATTATCACACAGAATTTTTATACATCACAAATAGATTAGTTTTATGAAGGAGGATACTAAAAAGTCCTTAGCCCAACCAAGAAGGATGACTTTGGATCACAAAATGGGCTATTCAATATATTCACCCTACAGTTTCTTCACTAATTTGGAACACTTTCCAAGTTGGTCTATTTTTTTTTTTCCAAAGAGTTTTGGGAAGAGGGAATAATACACAAATGCACATGTCAGAAATAAGCAGGCTTTGCCAGTTGTAGGCAAGAAAATTTGAATAATTTTGATAAAAATTAAATTGTAATGACCAGAAGATTAAGTCAAAGCATTTTGGAGAGTTTATATTCAATGAGGTAATAGTTTGGTTTGTTTTATGGCATATCAACATCAAAGGGCTATTTAATGTCAAGATTTTCAGGATCAGTCCATATGAATAGAATATGTATTCTTTGTAAAAAATCTGTTTGTACACCAGGTTTTATTGATGTATTTTTTGTAAAGAGAGTTTTTGTCAGATGTATTACTAGTAGTTTTACTATAAAAACCTATTTTTTTCCCACTTTCATAGGAAGTTTAACAGGTGCTACTCCAAGTGAGGGTGAACCTGGGAACAACAGCAATTAACAGGTAGTCCCATGCTCCTCAAAACCTCCTAATCAGAGGCCTTGCTACCAGATGTAGTTTATCATTGTACCCAGGAAACATGAAGTAGTGGAAAAGTGGAAAGAAAAAGAAAAAAAAAAAGTCACCAGTTGCTAACAAAGGATTGAGTAGACAAGAATGATTGATGCATGAATGCTACCCCTGCCAAGTGAAAGCCAATGGAAAGGAGGTGGGGGGGGGGCTATAATAGAACAAATTACAGAACATCAGGGTGAAGAAATCACAATAGAGTGCATCAACAATTTTCGCACACACAGAGTGCTCCATATCAGTCAGTGTTACTATGCTAACCAATGTTCAATGATAGCAGGTTGTGCCTGGTCTGCCAGTGATTCTCACCTTTTCCTAAATAAAATAACATAACTTTATGTTATTACCCTGAGGTAATGATGGCAGCAGGATGCAATGTGGGAAAACAACAAGCTGATGGAAAGTATTGTGAGGGTTTGGGCAACATTTTGCTGGGTGGAAATACTGAGACCTCTCATTCATGTGGAAGAGATGTCAGGTCTCACTGACCACATCATTGAAGACCAAATCCACACCTTTGTGGCAATGATATTGATATGATAGCAATGGCAGTTTTCAACAAGACAATATACCCTGCTACACAACACATGTGCAAATATGATTTCAGACACCTGAAAACTCCAGATGTAAATCACAATGAGATCTTATGAGATGTTGGATCAACAATTTTGTTCCATTCAAAACTTCTAAATGTAACTTGCAGCAGTTAAACATTCTGTTGCTAACATCTTGACACCAGATCCCAAAAGAACAGTTTGAGGCCTTGAAGAGTTTATGCCTGTTTTGTGGGCATGTGTAGGATCAACAGATGATGTAAAGTTGTCAATGTTTTGGCTTTTCATTGGAAACTGAAGACAGATAATGGACTGAAATCAAATATTTTGAGTTTATAACTTTTAAACCAGTTATGTGAATTTAGATTTTTTTTTTTTTAAATTCAGCAATGTTTTTTTTTTTTGTTTTTCAAAATTAATTAACTCTACATACAACTTACTTGGCATAAACTTGCAAACAGGAAAGCATAGTTGTTACAGTTTCTGCTGGTAACCTGTTCTTAGTTTGTGGTTCTTCTTTTACAGCGCCACCAGTTACCATGGGGAACCGTCGTTTAAGGAAATTAACGCAAGCTTGAACGAAAGGTTCCTGAAAGCACAAAGATTTGAAAGTACTGCAACTGTGTTCAGTTTATTGCACTGTCTTTTTATAATAAAGAAAAGAAAAAGATTATACTGCATGTATTTAATACCTAAACTAAAACATTAATATTTGCATTGAGATAATAGGCTTTAAATTATTATACAACTTAAACATGAATATTATTTTGTCTATTTACAAACACATGAAAGTTAACTGCATAGTATGACTAGCAAAGAGAAAAAAAAAAAAAAAAAAAAAAAACGAACATATACTTTGTAATATATGAAGGAAGTTTTGCTGAACTCTGCTTGGTGCCAGTTTGTTGTGTAATGGCACATAATTCATTCATTATGAGTACGTTATATATGAGCAAGTTACATATAAAGCAGCAATCAATAATAGGAATTTTAGCACTAGATTTCCTACCAATTGAAATACAAATGTATGAAAGCATTTAATGGCAATAGTTGCATGAAATTCGAATTTTTTCTTTTTTAAATTCAAGAATGCATTGCAGGCAATATAGATGGCACAAATGGTGTGAAACCTGAAATTTAGTTTTTGCACACTTATGTACAAACCCAACTTGACACCAGACTCCTGGCAGTTTCCAAAATTGAAAGAGGCAGTTAAAGGTAAACATTTTTTATATGATGTCAAAGTTGAAGTAGTGCCAAATTGGATCAAAAATAAACTAGAAATTTTCTTTATGGATAGGATGAAGTGAAGAGACTGTTTGGAAAAATATGTAAACACTACATAGTGGACTTAAGAAAAATAAACTTAATTTTAATACCAGTTTCATTATTTTATTTGGTCTCTAAATTCATTTTATCAATTATCCATTGTATATCATCATAATTAAATTGTAATTTTTTTTTTTTTCTTTTTAACATGAGTGTGGGATCTTTAGTGAGATAGTTTTAACCTCTCTGGGGATCTCTTTTTTGGAATCAATTTTGAAGGAAGATACATTTGGTATCATGAGAGGGGATTCTTGGTTAAGAAGGTTCTGGTGGTGCCACACTCATTTTCTTGTTTTTCACTACATTTTGTTAAAATGGCTCAAGGTTTTCCTTCATTCGGTTTTGCAGAGATTAGCAGCAGACAGATTTTCCTAATGGTTTTGATTTCTTTTACAAATGTTATCAAGTTATCCCATCTCAGTTTTAGCAGCCTCTAATAAGTTCTTTGTATTTATCCAAGTATTATATGTGCAGAGTTGGTTTCTATTACCTTTGGTGCAACTGGAAATGGCATGTTTTTTCACTCCTGCATTTCACCTCTGCAATTTCCCTTACTTTCCCTTCAGACTTTGTACATCCATACATAAAGTGATCTCCATGACAGCACATTCAATTGCATTAAGGAGGTGGGTAAACTATAGGTGATTTATGCAACCCACAAGAGCATAACAAGGATTATTTTTTTTAATTAGTCATTAACAGTTTGGGTTTTTTTTTTTTTTTTGTTTCATATTGTACAAAATAATCTATTCAAAACAGGAATGAAGGCAACAAAGACGCAAAAATAATATAATATTTAATAGCCACCCTTAGTCCTCAGGAAATTCCCTTCCTAAACCAACAACTCCTGTTATGTACTATGACAGGAACATTTGGATTGTTAGGTCTTACACTTTACTGAATTCAATTCTCAATCATTGGCACAGTGTAAATAATGCCGGGATCTAGATGCCTGTATGTATATATGATGTCATTTTTGTGCTTTGCTATAAACATCTCACAAGTTTTATCCAGAATTTTTTTATTGTAAGATTTTTCTCAGAAGTACAAATCATTAATAGCAGAGTAACTGTATCAAATATTAAGCTAATTTCTCAAACATTTGTGCAGTGTTCACAAAATGTAATTGCAAATAAGAGTACAAATAAAATGTGCACAATTATTACTGTGAAACACGACTTGTTCTTGTGATACAGAACCTCTTTACACAGAGCCAACAATGATGCAATCTCCTATGAAAAATTCTTGCCCATCCCTGTCTATACAAGATGCATGTATTTCTGGCAATTTTTGCATCTTAAAAGTAAGTATTAGTGTACTTTCTCAACAATGTAATCTATTTTGATTTCTTTTGTTATTTTGGAGATGTGTGATATTTAACTAAATTAGTTTGCCTTCCTTTTTATAAGCTTATTTTTTTTATGATCTATAACCACCCACCAATTTTTTAAGCCTGTTTTAATCCCATCCAGTATGAAAATTGATAATTAAGATATTCTCACTACACCACTATTTGTGTTTAGTGTAATTTTTTTTTTTTTTTTTTTTTTTGATGTATTAGAATGTGTCCATCCACAACAATGTCTCCACTTCAATCACAGAATTTCTCTTTAACTATAGGATTAAACTTTTCCTATAGGGAATGGTGATGGTCTTGACAGGGGGAGTGTCCACACAAATTCGTTTGGAAGGCAAGCAATGCCCTCCTGAACTTACACTATCTGAATCAATATCAACATGGAGTTACATGGTTGAAAAAAATACATATTTTTCTTCAGTAATCATTATTGAATAGGCTCCACACCCATTTTGGAGCCTAATATCCAACATGACAGGGATACAGAGATAATATGCTTGTGAATAAGGGAAACTCCAGACAGTTGTAAACCATTAAGTACCCAAGTTTTGGCGTTACATCAGGTGTTTTACAGCCATGTTGAAACTTTGAATCTTTCAAACTAGTTGGCCCTTAGCCACTACTTTGACATACAGAAATAGGTCTGGTGCTGAATCCAATGGTGTTTGGATGGGAAAAATTTAAAGAAAAAGGTTTGTTTTATACAAACACTTAAATCATAATTTAACTAGCCAACTGATCTGCCTGAATTAGGCTTCACCAACTACCTGTTTAAACCCAAGGCTCAAAATGGAGAGTTACAGTCCACAGTTCCTTAAACTCCAGGATCCTTTCCTCAGACATCTGACCACCCATGGCCAACGGGTGACACTTCTCTTTTCAAGGTTGGGAGCTTCTTTCTCTGCATCTAATTTGAAGAAATCTATGTCATTTAATATTTACTACACATGCACCCATTTTTAATTCCATAGACAAAAATAAAAATAAAAAACAAAATAAAAAATAAAGAAACAAACCTTATGCTCCCTGATTTTGTCTGTAAGCCATTTATCTAATTTTAGATATTCTCTTCGCGATGCAAGACATGCCAAATCAATCACAAATGGAAATGGAGTAGCATTCAAAAGCATTGACAATGCCTGTAAAATAAAAATTACATAAAATTGAAATAGAATAAAAGTCCAATCTCACATTTTTCATGGTTTCATCCCAAGCAAGGCAATAAAGCTATTAAGACAAGAGGTTACTGTGAGAGAATATTAGAAACAACTTTTTATTTATAATATAGAAAACTATTTCTTAGCAAAGGAGTAATTCTGAAAGATTACATTTATTTTATTTTATTTTTAAGTTAACTATAAAATAAGGATTTCAAAAATAATGATTTAAGACAAATAAACCTGAAGCAAAAGGAAATGTTACCTTCAAATCTTGGGCTACATCCAGAATCCGAGCAAGTCTGATTTGGTCTTGACAATCACTCCTCATATACCACTCGGCCATAGAGTGCATGATTAAAGTCCGTATATTGGTGGAGTGACCCTAAAATTAGTAATGAAATTTGAATAATTTACAACAACAAAAAAAAAAAAAAACAAAAACAACCTTCCCAAGTAAAATGTCATTAAAGCATTACACCAGGTATGGCTCTCATGACTTATGATTTTAATTGATTTTTTTTGGGGGGTCTCTATCTATTGCCTATGTTTTGTCTTGCGAATTAAGATGACCTACATAAATTTCCTGCCCATCACCACAGATTTGTCAGTTAGTTGCCTGACTGTAACAAGTTGCCCATGTCCCTGAGAGGCATGATGCACTGTGCCTCTGTTCATCAACAGTAGCTGGGGAGCACATTATGGGTGTGTGCCAATTTTTTTTTTTTTTTTGTTTGAGGTCACATCTAGATACCTAGAGGAACCCTCAATTAGAGACCATCTGAGCAAACTGAATTACCCAACCTAAAGGTATTTTCTTGCATTGTTTTTATCAATGCCCGTCAGTATATTTGTGCACATTTGGCTGAGATACATATGCTTAGTATAACATTATCATATTTGGTTTTATGATAGGGTGTTGAATTATATTTATACTCCAGCAGCACTTTGTTTGTATGATGTTCTTTCACACTAATAAGGGAGGAGGCATATATAGTGTATTTTTTGAATTTTGATTATAGAAATGAGGAATTGAGCGACATCCATAGCAAAAGTTTGTAAAAACTTTACATTTTGAAACAAGTATAAAACAGCTTCAATGATTCAGTTACATTTAATTATTTAAAAATTCAGCCAAATGAATTTGAGAAAGCCAAGATATAATGGACTCTTAAAATTTAAAAGGCCTCAAAAAGAGATCTAAATAAAATTTGCAGAAATGTTAAATTTCTAACACTTTAAAGATATTAAAGGATACTTACCTGAAAGTGCCAAGCATAATTTAGCACAATCGCAGAATTTGGATGGTTATTAAGGAAAATTGGGATCAAATTAGACAGGAGCTCTTGTTTCAGAATATTCCAAGTAGGCTGGAAAAAAGAAATTGAGCATTTTACATACTTATATAGAAGAGAATAAGAAATATATTAAACTAACTTTTTTACAATATACTGTTTGAACAATATCTTAATTGTGAAATACAGAAAAATAAGATTATACACACATGTGAAGCTGGTCCTTTATAATTTAGTAATATCAAAAAAAAAATTTCATAATCATATGAATAGTAGACACAGTAAAAGCATAGATGCAACAGATTGTAAAAATCTTCAAATTAAACAAATCAATAAAACTGTAAAAGTTACTCAATTCAAATCAATATCCTCCTTTTGATTATTGAAGTCAAAAAATAAATTAGGAAACAATATTTTTTGTGCTAAGTCTGCTATTTATTCATTTGAGAGTAGTCAGGTGTGTTTTTGATTCCCCCTTTACATCAAGGTGAGAATTTTGTCATCAAAAATGATTCTTTCTCTTGGAAAAATACAAAGAACTCTTTTTTCGGTAGATTGATAGAGAACATAAAATACTGTCAATAATGATATTGATTATTCTCTCTATATAGACATTATTTTCTTCACAGACTGAAGCCGATCAAAAATTCCTTTCTGTTGTGTATCATAAAATGTATCAGCTAATAGTGCATGAATATCTGTTTGCAAGAGATAAAGTCAAATGAAAAACTTGATTAGTTAAGCAGTGAATTCCTCCTGGTTAATTACTCCCTGAAATTAGTAAACTAAACATCTTTCCTTTTCCTAACTACTTAATCTAACTTGTCACTCACATTTTTGAATATTTCATTTGTAAAATTAGTGGAAAAAAAAAAAAATAAATAAATAAATAAATAAATAAATAAATAAAATAAAAAAAATTTAATTCTAAATAGAAACTAATTTCAGGAGAGAGAAAATGAAAAGAGAAAAAAAGGCAATGCATTGCATTCAATTGGCAAAACTTACATCAATTTGGAGCAAAGCCAAAGTTAACATATCTGGACAGTTTTGGACTGGAAATTTGAACAGATCTGTTACAAATTGATAATGACCCAAATCAGAAAGTCTGAGAAGTGCTTGAACAAGGTCCCTTGATTTCCTGCAGGAGAGAGAGAAGAGAAAAAAAAAAATACATGTAATCCAACGCTTTATATAATAATACTTAAAATAGAATTTAAAAGAAAAGAAAAAAAAAAAATCTCTAGAGCTTAGTTACTGAAGCCAAAATTTATTGCAAGAAGTAAAAGAAACTAAACATTTTCTTGAAAAAAGAACGTACTAATTGTATTTTGGCTTTTAAAATACATCACAAAATGCTTCCAAGAACATTTGTTAGCTATTTTAATCTATATTCATATTATTTAATGAAAGTTGAGAAATAATTTCAACATTTATTGTCTTAATATCAGTAATTTCTTTGTTAGATTGTAAAGTATTCAATGAATACTCCCATTAAAATCGAGAGAAACAAGTTTGCTTGAGCCATGATTGAGCTTAATATAAAAACATTTCAATTTAAATTCCATGAAATAAAACAAAATTCTACTTCCAATATGCTGATAAAAATTTCTTGAAAAAAAAAAAAAAAAAAAAAAAAAAAATAAAAGTTTCAGATCAATGCTATATTTATACAGAAAATTCTATTTCCAAATGGTTCTATCTAAATATTAAAAGACAAAATTCTTACCAAGTTAATATTTCTCTATTATCTTCATCTGGAACTGCCTTTAAAACATCTGTTATCACTGGTTCATATGGATAGTCAGCAAGACAAAATATATCTGGGTTCTTTAACGCATGGGAGATAAAAGATAGCTGAAGAAAAAAAAAAAGTGGCTAATAATGTCAGATGAGACATATGCAAAATAGTCAAGACAAAAGACTGAAATTCAAAACTGATTAACTGCAAATGCTAGTTCAACTTAATTCAAACCACAACTTAACAAAATTAGTAAATTAACTTTCAACTGCAAGAATATGTTCCACTCGGAAGAATTTCATAGTTTCATTGCCAAGAAGTGTTATATTTTAAGAAATTTAAACTGAAGGAAAAAAAAACAAAAAAAAAACACTTACCTGTCCTTCTGTATTCTTCCATGGTTTATAAATATGCTTGACTGGGAAAGTATCATTAAGGGCTTTAATCAACCCTTGTATAAGCAATCTCAAGCCTTTCTTATTATTTATCATGAAACTTTTATGATCTAGTTCTGCAATTACATCATTCCACTGTAAATTGGGTACCTGCAATAAAGAAAGAAAAATTTTGTATTTAAAAGAGGCAATGTTGATACCACTACAATAGACATTATAATTCATTTTATATTTTAAAGATGTTTTAAAAATTGTTTTAATTATCAACTCAACAAAGTTTTGTTTTGCATGCACATTTCTTACAGTTGCTTAAAGTAAAAAGGTTCATTGATCTTATGTTATGAAGAATAATCTATTATTTGACCAAGTAAAAAAGAAATTATTTATAGCCTTAAAAGAGTAATTCTATTTAGGATATGCTTATAGGGCTGTGTACTGAATTGTGCATAGCCTTAAAGAGAAACAAAATTACATAAATACTTTAATACTCATTTGAAGTTTTAATTTAGTTGGAAAGAACAAATGTCAAGTATTTTTGTAGAACACAATCAGACAAAAATAAAACATCTAGGTTTTCCAATAAACTATAATTCAGCTGTTTTAAAAGTGTCAATTCATCAATTAAAACAGAAACCTTATTAAACATTCCAAAAATTATGTACTTATAAGAAAATACATTATTTAATGACTTAAAAATAAACAACTTTCATAAAAATTATATAATAAAAAGGTCAGGCTTTTTCTTGTATTAGCTTATTTAAATGCATCTTTATTCAAAAATATTCTGAGAAAAATCAAGTATAAATTTCCTCAATTGTATAAAATTTCATGGTTAACCAACAAACAAACATTTAACAGGCATTTCAAAGAATAGAAAGACATTAAAACTTATCCTTTGCAACTTATGAGCTTCCATAGGAACTAACAAGATTTTGTATAAATTAGTAGTTAAGTTTAATTTATTACTGTTTAACTTGTCATTCTGGCTTGAGTATCCAAAGAAATTTACATTTATTCTGTGAAGAAAAAAAAAAAAAAAAAAAAAAAAAAAAAAAAAGTATGTGTGCATAAAATAAAACTTTAAAATCTTCAAGTTTAAACACTCACCCCATACTCTATTCAGGAAAAAATTTTAATAATGATGTAACGAAAAATTAGGTGGTTCTACATAGAATATTTAAACTCCAAATCTAAGACAAACAATTTATTAGATGAGATTTGCAAAGCAAGGAATAATTTCTCACAAAAGTAACCTTTCAAATATTTCAAGTTGTTCAGATAGTGATTTCATAAAATTAAAGTGACCATTTAGATTAAAAAATTATTTCCATTGAATGTTTTTCAGTAACTCATTTTTATTGTAATAGCCTCAAAATCCTTTATACAAGCCTAAAACTTTTCAATGCTTGTGTTTATGTATGTGTGGTTTACTTCAAGTTATTAATTTTTTTAAAAACTCACTCAGCTTATTAATCTTTGTTTATAGGTTTAAAAAAATGTGCATAAGAATTGCTTCAATGAAATTCTTCTGCCAAAGTTTAAGCTCAAAATTTAATTTTGAATATAGTCTGAAATCATTGGTGAGATTTTAATTAAAACTAATGAGATCATAAATTAGGACCTATGCTGAAACATTCTAATAAGAGATTAGTCTTAGTCGTTAAGACGTTTTGAGAGAATACACATTAAAGCCAGTTTGTCATATCTAAACATTAATTTTTCAGTCAATAAAATCTTAAAATAACAAAAAAATTCATCAAAGCCTAAAAGGTACAAAAACAAAATTCAATAGAAACACTAAGCTTTTATAATAATCAAATATTCTTTTCTTTTTTTTTTTTATTATTTGTTACAGAAGTTTTATAAAAAACTCAAGAATAAAAAAAATATACATACCAATTCTTGGACAATTTGAACAAAGATGTCCACATTCCATGTTGTTACACCAGGTTTATCTTTTTCTTTATCATTCCAGTTGCAATTCTGACAAACAGAAAACATTTCAACACATGAATTTCATTAAAATATTTTCATTAATAAAAAAATTATTCAGTAAAATTGTTGAGTTCTTAACTTTAAATACTTTCATATTTCTAAATGTTATGCATTCTTTTAATAATTTTTTCAGTTACAGAGAAATGATCAGCAGCAATTATGAAGACCTACTAGCAAAACTGTCAGCCACTTCCTATATAAGTCAGCTTCAAGAAACAAAATGGATTTCAACCAACCTGTCTAGGACTTAAATAATTAAAAAATAAAAGTTATAAGATTGTTCCTATAACAAAACTCACATGCAAACTAGAAATATTGTTTATCTATTAGAGATCAAACTTTCATAATTTTTCTTTTTATATTTTGAATTGGGTAAAATGTGAATAAGGCTTCATTTTTTAAGGGCATTGAAATGAAGACCAACAACTTCATCTGAACTTGCTCCTTTTACTTACAAGTAGCAATATTTTAACAATCACTATGTTGGCTGTTTGTAATAAGGTTCCACTACTGAAACAAATTTCAGCAAGAGTAAGTTTCCCCAGATTGGTTTAATTGTTTTAATGAGTATATGCTGTTTATACAAATCCAAACACAGGCAAGCCACACAAATTTGTATTTTTATTATTGTAAACTTAATGAACAAATTTACATTACCAATGAGTAATGGAAGTGTTGTTGTTCGTGTAAAGCAGAGGTGGGAAAACAGGAGTGGGGGTGGGGGTCTTATTTGGCAGGTTCATGATTCCTGAATAATGAACATACAAGAAATACTCTTTTTAGCATTGACATTTAATAGCAACCCAAAATCCAATACAATGGTATATGGGTGCACCTCTAAAACTACAGAGCTTGGCAGCTGGTCTTTCCTCTGGGCTTTAACAGCACTTTGGGGGGGAAAAAAACTGGCTGGTCACATTCAATGCCCCAAAAAATAAACTAGTGATGTTCCCTCAAGCAGACCCTGAATTTTCACTTATTGCAATGAATGGGTGTTCTCTTGAGGAGGCTCTATGCCTTGAACACCAAGTAGAATATACCTACAATCCATTGCTAAAGATGCTGGAAAAATGGTCAGTTCCTTGTACCACTCCTGGACTCCTCCTGCTATCCTCTACTGTCAGAAGAGCAAGATCAGGCCAAAAATGAAGTACTGTTGCCATATATGGGCAGGAACTGCCCAGTTCTTTCCATGAAATGAAGCTTACTCTACCTTGAAGGATAGGTACCGACTGGGGAGGCAGTCACCCCCACCACAGCTTGATCACATTGACATTTTAACCAGGGAGTAAATTCAAAGTATTGATAAAAATTTCACATTTATGATAAATTTTTCTTTTCATAACAAATTTTGAATTGCTTGAAATTAAAAATTACTGCTTACACTTTGTCAAAGAAGAAAATAATAATAAAGTTCATTTGTCAAGATATGTTAAACTCAACTCTATAGATCTTGCGTTAAAACCAAGCAAACAAAACAGAAATACAAATTAAATTGTCAATGAGAAAGCATAAAACTGCTAGAATATTTTCCAATATGTTGGAAGTGATGAAAGCTGCAACTTATGTGTCATACAGTAAACTGAATACTCTGACCCAATTTGTGTTGCCTAATACAAAATGACCTAGTAACCTAGTTGTTTATAAACATTTGATGAAAAATTGTCAGAGATTTGTCATTCATTCCCATTGGATATTAACTAAGATTGGAGAAGAAAAAAATATTTAGACAAAATTCAAATAATGCAGGAGACAAAATTTGTTTATGCACAAAAATAAAACATTTTTGAAATGTTTTTACAGGCTGCACTCACAGCTGCCACAGACCAGATACAGCTGGAGTAAAGTGCAAGTATTGCAGTTTCTTCATCAATTCACGATTGATTTAATATAACATGCACTTTCGAACTCAAATGTAAATTTAACTTTAAAGTAGTAAATATCAATTTTTAAGTTAATCAATACATTTACCTTTTATTACCTATACTTCATTAAAATTTGACTGGCTTTGCATTTCCATGTACTAATGACAGAATTAATTACAGGTAGAATGATGCAGCTCACTCTTAGATTAAAGAACAAGAATGTGACTCATCTATGATCTGACATTCCAAATTTTCTAATATTCATTAGCAAAAATTAATATTTTTCAAAAGCACAGCCTTTAAATACATTCACAGTAAATTGTATTAGAGAGAGGAGAAAAAAAAAAAAAAAAAAAAAAAAAAAGAGTGGGTGCAGAATATTTTCTCACCTGATCAACTTGCCCACACGGATTTTTGGCCATCATACCCATTACTCTGGCAACAGCTGAGGGCGTTAATTCTTTGGTTTTGAACTGTAAAAGTGTGTTGCGACATTCTTCAACACTAAGAGAGCAAAAAAAAAAAAAAAAAAAAAAAAATTTCATATTTCAGCACATTAGCTGAAAATTAAGTTTGTGTCATTTCATATAGATCATTTTTCAAGCAATACATGAAGGCAGATTTCAAAGTTTAAATCAAAAGTAAAATGCAAATTGATTCATAAAAGGATAACCTTTTTTTTAAAGCAAATATGTTAGAAAAGAAAAATATCTTTATGGGAAGAAGACAATATAGGCAAATATACATTCCCTTTATGCCAACTGTAAGACAAATTATGGAAAATGTAGATTCTTTTAAATCTAAATACCATATATTTACACATATAAAGTGACCTATAAATAAGACAAGACTTTAGTATAAGACTAGAACATGATGAATGTAAATGATGTTGATGAGCTCTTTGCATCAGATGGTGATGATCATTGTAATTTTGAAGGGTTATAATTATGTATGTGGGTGCCTTATGTTTTTTTATTCTGTAATGAGAATAAGATTTTATGACATCTTAAAGGTTTTGTTGCTTAACACCAAGAGGAGGAAAAAAAAAAAGTATAATGTATGTTTTAGTGAAAAAAAAAGTTTGCCTGTGTGTTATACTAAATGTTATTTAACACCACAATGATAATGAATTTTAATTAGAAATATAGATACTATTTTATCCTAAATGTTATTTAACAATACTATGAGAAATAATGATTGGTGTGAAATCAATCTCTTGAATATTGCATTTTAATGTAAAAATCAAGAAGCAAAAATAGTTTTATTCCATTTATAAATATAGTACAATTATAATGTGAATTGTTTCAACTAGAAATATTTACATTGATAGTTATCTTACTGAGGCAGTTGTTAGCGTACCATGATCCAAACATACTAGCCTACTTACATCACAGGATTTAAGATTAGCTTTTCCTAACTGTTGGATTAAAGAAACCCCTATTTTGGGGGGGATAATTTTTTAAATGTCACTTTATATGCAAAAATATATAGTAATTAAACTGTTTGCATGGCTCCAGTTGAAACATTTGATTTTTTTAATAGAAATTCAGATGCCATTTTCATAATAAATCAGTTTAAAGCATGAAAACATGTTCATTAATATAACAAAGAAAGTGACTTCTATCCATTTTGAAAGTTTTGTTTCTTTATTATCCAGTCACAATTAAGCTTAGAAGCAATTCTTTAGTTATGAACTACAGCCATTCAAGTAGGTGTTAGTCAAAAAGACAATTTAGAAAATACATACGTATTGGTACAAGCACAGCCAGCCTCAAGGACAATATCAGCCAAAGAAGCTTCATTCTGTGAAAAAGAATTCATTTGAATTAGAAATAAAAAAATTGTTAAAGAAACAAAATTACTAAGAATTTGCAATGTAAAAGTAATAATACCATTGATGATGACATGATGGAAGTATCAGAAAGCCTTTCAAAACTGATATCTTCAATTTCAGGATACAACAGTGGACTAAGAACAACTGGAACACGGCTCCTTGGAAAATCTACAATGCAACATCAAAGAAATTAATATATATTTCAAAGTTCAGAGAAAGAAAAATTATAAGTAAATAAATCGTGACAATTATAATAGCAAAATAAATTGTTCTTGAACATGCCAAGTTTGCATTTACCTTTGCGTAGAGTTTTCAAAAAAGCTTCCTTTTGGTCTGCACCAATGCCCAGATGATCTTTTCCACGGACAAGGTGCGTAAGCAGAAGATGAAGCCCTTCGATGGCAATATCTTGTAATCCACCTTCTTGTCTTAAATTAGTATCTAGTAAAGAAAAATAAAGTACTTAATACTAAGTGGATATAAATTCAGTTTTATTATATAATAAAACAAGTTTAATTATTTATAATGCTGTAAAATTAGTGAATTTAACTTTTAATTTCAACTACCCAGTGATGAGAAAAAAAAAAAATAAAAAAAAAAAAATAAAAAATTAAAATGCATTAATAACTTGCCTGCACAAAATTTATATTATGAAAGGTTTTATTACAACTATTTTGTCAAATGCTTTAAGCATTTAGATAAATTCAAGGAAATAATAGTTAAAACTAAACTAATTTTTAAAAATTAAAATTTCAGAGGCTATACAATAGTATGAAAGGATCAACATAATTTAAGAGGGGCTGAAAGTCTTGGCCTCGACCACTCAAAAAAAAAAAAAAAAAAAAAAAATCAAAAAAACAAACACCAGAATTTTTTAGCATCCCATCTCGCATATGGGCATATGCAAATGAGAGAAAGCATTTCAGCTGTGCCCAACTGATTAAAAGTTATGTTTTTTGTTTAATTAAAAAGAAAAAATAATTAGTTAATTTTTGTTCCCCATAATTATTTGTTAAAAAAATATTTTTATGTAAAACAAATTTTGAAAATCAACAAATGAAGATTTCCAAGAATACCCCTTGACAATAAATTTTAATACAGCGGGTGTGAAGAGAGATATGAATACCAGTTAAACTTATTGCCTACACAAAACTGAATATATGATTAAGATAATACTTTAAATAAGAGATATCAAAAGCATAACTAATTTCAAAGGGGACGAACATTAGAAATTGTTGGTATACATACCAGCATCTACATAAGACCTTAAGAGATCGGGCAATTTCTGTTTCACAAAGTTGTCAGCGTATTTACAGGTGTCAAGGTTGGACGAATTCAACAAGGCCAAACCGAATACCACCTCTTGTACTCTTGTCAACTTGAGGACTTTGCTCAGTTGAGGGAATAATTGAGCACTTGGTTTAAGGGTCTAGTTGAAAAAAAAAAAAAAAATCAAAATCATTTAGTACAACAAAGTTTAATGTGAAATTTATAAAACAAGATTTTTTTTCAAAAACACGTTTTAAAGAAACATTTGCAAATCCAGACCTGATCTACACTGCAGTGAAACATATTTTCATTTAACGAATTAAATGAAAAAAATCTTCTCCAATGATAGATGAGGATGAAATCAAATGTAATTAAGTAAAAGAAGAGGGGAAAAACCAAATTAGTCATACATCATCCTCAAGACAAAATTAAAGATTTTTCACCCAATATTTTAAATGAATCTAGTGAAATAAAAATAAAAAACACTATGTAAATAATAATCAAGATATACCAGACTTATACTGTCAACTCCAAATTCAAAACCAACAAAATTTGCTGTTATTAATGAACATGCTACGTACCTTTTGATGTTGAAAAGGGTTGTCAATCGCGTAACACAGGGTTGACACAAAATTAGGTTTACTGAAAAGAGCTGCGAACTCTTGTATTAAATAATTAGTCTATAAAGAAAAAGAAAATATTTGCTTTTGAAAAAAATACATATAAACAGCAATAAAATAGTATAAAAACATTTTAGAAGAACTATATTTTATCAACTAATGTGTTGTCTTGTGATATCACTCAAACTATGCTAATGGAGTTTTTCTGTTCATAACATGAGTAATTGTAACTCTTTACAATCCTTTTTAATACATCTCTAAACTGAGTATCGCCATTGTTTTTCCTGGGGGGTAAAAAGCTGTTTTCCTTCTTAGAAACTAAGACAGGAGAACCCAATCTTCCCTGCTATTTAACTCCTGCCAGATTAATTGATTTTGTTTAACAGCATATCAACACCTCTATGGGTTATTTAATGTTGAAATCTAGATATTTAAAACAATTGCATGCCTTAAACTACAAATAAAAATGTATTGCTGGTATTTTTACTATAAAAAAAAAAAAAAAAAAAAAAAAAATGTGTGTTTACACTTTTATAGTGTTTTGTTTTTGGGTTCACTATTTATCCATAGAGGAGACCCTAACCATAACAGGTTCTACCACTCTGGGTCAGGGCGGACCTGGGAACAATAGCAATTAAGAGGTGGCTCCTCAAACCTCCCAATCAGAGTCATACCCAGGACTAAACTCATGCTAGAAGAGATTGAGACAAACTCAGTCCAAGTTTGAACCTGACATGCCAATGAATGGAAAGAAAAAAAAAAATCATACTGATGACAGCAAGAGAGAAATAGTCAGACACTGCTACCAATATAGTTATAAAGTTTTTGAGGAAATTTGATTTATGCATTTTGCTACTCCATTTCACCTTAACATGTTAACTTCTGATGATGTTATTGTACAACAACTTTTGATATCACCCACTATTCTATTTTTAAAACCATAAAATATAAAAATATTACACATTAAAGTGAAGTGTATTTGCAATACCTGATACATGCCTAGCCAGAAACAGTATGATTTTATTTATCAAAAAATTATTTTTGGCATTTCCTTTTTTAATTCAAACAGCTTAAATTAAAGAAAAATTAAACTACTTTAAAAATAATATCATTTGGGTATAAAAACAAGTTAGAAATTTTTCCTTCTATAGCTTTTTAAAAAGTAAGTAAAATTCCTTGAAAATTACAATTCTTAAAATCCATTTTTTTTTTTTTTTTTTTTACAACCAAGTTATAATAAAACAAAATGAAAAAGGAGAGAATGGAATATAATAAAACCTCAACATCACAAGTCCAGAGTTTTACTTAGCAGTTGTCCCAATCTTTGGTACTTAAAACTTAAACTAAAAATACTTGGCAATTATTTATAGTAATTAATGGATTATTTTATTTATTTATTTTTTTTTTTTTTTAAATCAGGCATTATTTCTTATTACATTATATTTAGGCCACAAGAAACTAATGATGGTAGGTAACACTTGGCTCAAGAGTGATTTTCCTGATGGGAAAAGGAATACAGATCTTATTCCTGTTTGGAGTACATTTATCTAGAGTATGACTTCTTGATCCCTAGACCAGTTGACAATTTCACTATTTAAAATAACACATCAACTTGAACACATGTGCATCCGTGTGCCAAATAAAATAAAATTTTCAAGTTAACTGTCCCAACTCAGTTTTGCCAATATGGGAGCCACTTATCATGCAAGTTATTAATGATATGAAAACAGAAAATTTTATCAATTTAAACATCTCAAAGCCATTGAAATTTGAGTTATCACATACAGGTGAAAAACACATCAATTTGGAAATTCTTGCCAAAAAAAAAAAAAAAAAAAAAAAAAAAAAAAAATCAAGCCATTTGTCAGATTTTAATGAAACTTTTTTTTTTTTTTTTTTTTTTTCAACATGTTACCCCAAACTAAATTTCATTAAATTTCAATCTTAGAATTAGTTAAAAGCAGAACTCCTGGGAGAATATAAATCAATTCTATCCCCCCACCCTCAAACTACTGCACATTTCCCAAAAATCTGCTCTGAATCAAAAAATAAAAAATGCAATAAAACTATGACATTGTTTAATTAGAAAAAGCTTTTATAAATAAGATTTATTAAGGATACTATTGTCTTAAGAAAATTTTTTTACAATAATGGATTTTTACAAGAATTGTTTTAATTTTTTTTTTTTTAATTTTTATTATAATAATTCATAACATAAATCTTAAAATTCTGCATTACTTTCAGCCAGTTAGGTGATATTGTTAAGTGAAAACTATATTTACTAATCAAAAATTGAAAAGCTTAATACAAACTATTTTGCACAAAGATTTTTAAATTAATTTTTTTCATGCATATAAAATATTACATAACATGCCCATTTGAAAGTATGATTGAATATACACTACATAATCAGAAAATAAGAGCAATGTCTATAGTAAATTTAAAGTCAACATTCCTAAAATTAGATTACGAAGAATATTTTCCAACCCTTTTTAAGATTACTTATCGGCTAGGTCACTGCGGTGAGGAGGTATGATGTTGAAAGACCCAAAACCCCTAATGAACCTCGGCTTGAAATATCACTAATGATGTGTACTAAAGCATCCAATAGATGTATTTTAAGAAAATAAAGGCGCCCACCCGTCATTTTCTTAAATTATGTTTTAACAGATAAAGTCTCTGTAGAACAACAATAAAAGGTGTTGACACATTTTATCATTACTTGTTAAGTGATTTATGAGTGACAAGCAATGATGATAATTGTGTAATCACTGCTACTGTTTATTTTAAAAATCTACTTCTCTGCTATTTTAAACTTAAAGTAGATCATTTTTTTCAAATCAAATTAATTATACTTTAAATCAGCTAATATTCCTCATATAAAGTTTTAGAAAAGTATTTTATTTTTGGAAGATTTTTAAAATTGAGAATTAACTTTTGTTTACAAATGTGCTAAAAATAGATTTTCTGAAAGTGACCAAAAAGTTGAGATTCCAATCAATATAATTTCTATTTGAAATACAACAGAATATTTTGCTTACTGGAAATAGCAAGTTTAATCATTTAGCTTTCAATTAAAGCTAAAATAAAATTAAAAAAAAAAAAAAAAAAAAAAAATACATTTAAAACCAAGGTACTGAAACTGAGTGAAGGTACCTAATCTACTGTATTCTACCATATGCCCAAACTAGTTTGGAAACAGTGCTAGTTAGTCTATAACAAATGCAAATGACTGACATTAAACATGGTTGTGTGTGTGTGTGTGTGTATATATATATATGTGTATGTGTATATATATATATATATATAAACACACACACACACACACACACACACACACACACACACACACACAGCAATAATGCCAGTTTAGTAAAGGCATAAGTATGTCCATAGCAGTTAGTATTTTGACTTAACATCAGTAAGCCTATTTTGTCATAAAACTTTTTATACATGTCCAGATTTATAGCTAGAAAATTCTAACCAGAAATGAAAGAAATATTTTTAGTTATATTTTTAGTATAAAACCATTATTAAATAATCCATTCGACTATTATTAATTGTAAACATCTAATATCCAGATTTTACTTCACTCCTAATTTAGTAATTTTAAAGCCTGGCTTTGATAAAAGATCAATTCATTCTAATTGACAGTATTCTCGGACTATTCTTCCTCAAATCAAAAAGTTAGGCCTTTTTAAATTTTACAAAACCTCATTCATCACTATACAATAACAAATAACTCTTGTATATCTGGGTATCTTTTTTTTAATGATAACCAAATGACCTCCAACATTTTTTTTTATAAGGATTACCAAACCTAAATTGTTACTAAATATTCAGTAAGAATTATAAAAATTATAATAATATCTGAATAATTTCAATATACACCTAATTTTTACCTACTATTTTATTAAACTTTCAAATCCATTAAAAACTGAAGGAAGATAGAGCAAGCATGCATGCATGCACACACATACATACACACACGGCACGATGGTGTAGTGGATAGCAACTCGGATTGAAGAATCAGAGAGCCGAGTTTGAATTCCAGCCAAATCCATTACATTCACTCTTCTTCTGCCTCCAGCTATGAGTAAATAGCAGGACAGATTGGGTTTTATAACCTTGGATGGCAACTGGTCTAGGAGAAGGACAAGTATGGTTGACTCTGCATAAAGCCTGCACCACTATAATCAAATCATACATGCTGGTGATTGGAACTGAGCTGCTTGACCCTCATATGAATATGACAGGAGAGTCCGCCATATATATATATATATATATATATATATATATATTACACACACACACACACAAGGGAGATCATTTAGATTTATGCCAATTTCCTGATTCCATATGAAACTAGAGAATCTCATTAAATTTATATAGATTTTCTGATGAGATGTGTCAAAGAATTAAAGAACTATGATCAATGAAGTGATAAGTTATATCAAATGGTAAAATTGTGCTTAAAATTTAAAATCAAAAATTGAATTAATGAGGTTAATTTAAGTCCTAATGTCATGCTTTTGAAATTAAACTTAGAAAAATGTTAATGATCTAAAATCCAACGAAGAAAGATTTTTTATTAGGCATAAATGTATTTTAAAAATGAAAAAAAAAAAAAAAAAAAAAAAAACTTAAAAAACTTACTTGATGGGAATCTTTTCCTCCACTCTTACCATCCCCACTAAAGTCCACATGAGAAAACAGACAGCGGAATAAGTGACGGTCTGCTTCTGCACCGTGTACGTTAGTCAGCTGAAATAAAAACAATAAGTTAAAATAAATTCAAAATGTTCATAAAACATTTTAATATATTCATCTTCTAGAGATTGTTAATTAAACCAAAAATAATTATTTTATGGTCTTCATCCTTTGCTTTACAAAAAGATGAAAGTTTGTTGCATAAAAAAAAAAAGAAAAAAAAAAAGGAAACTGAGCATAAATGTGAACAATGAGAGTTGAAATTATTTAACATCTTTAACCAGATTACTAACGCTAAGCAATTCACATTTTGTAGACAGAAACAAATGCTGTTGATGCAGTTATGTTTTAAAATAATTACCAAGCATCATTTGATTATTTTAATGACACCTACACAGCAAACACATTTTTAAAAATAAAAGTAATCACTTATACAATAAGTATTTTTAAATTAAGAAACTTTTCTTTGCAGATTTTCAAATGTTACATTTATCACAAGTGACATTTCTCTAAGATTGTAGACAAAAATAATTGGTTTGGTATGCATCGGTAACAATGAAAATTGTTACCAAATTTCAATGATAGGCACCAGCATCAACAAGAGTTCTTACATGAAAATCTACAGCTGATGATATAAAAATCAATACCAGCACCAACAACGGGGTCATCATGCTGACCAGTCAATGTCAGCAAATTCCAAACTAGTACAGCTAAAAATGGCTTTAGTGAGTTTGTAAGTTATTTTATAAGAAAAAATAAAAAATAAAAAAGGCAATCTGTGTTTAGATGCATTAAAACATTTTATATACATTTTTAGGTAAATAATTAAATTAGTCCTAAATTATTGATTTTTCTTTTTTAACCTCCACTTTTTAGACTACATTAAAAAAAAAAAAATCAAATTTTTTTAAAAACATTAAATCCTGTATATTTGATATACATAATTTTTTTTCCTATATGGATAGATTTGAATGATGATCTGATTTATTTTAATCTACTAACCAGACATTAGATTCACTTTACATTGTATTTTTGTTAATTCAGATAGAGCTGAGTTGCACACACGTGCCACCCAACCCACTGATGTCCAAAATAATGCAAAAGTCCTTGGCCTTAGAATGGTAAGTACTCATATCAGTAAATCAACATGTTCTAGTAAAAACACAGCCAGTAAACAATACCAGTAATGACAGGATTAGAATATTTTTGGCAAACTGCATGTCCTCCATAAGCATGTAATATAACTTTGCAAGTAAAATATTCCAGTTTTCAGCTCCACTGAGATTGTTTTCAAACTTTCAGGCAATCACTTAGATTAGAAACATTTTTTTTTATTAGCACAATAATATTTTTCTTTACAATAACTCTTTGCCAATAAGAAATTCTAAATAGGAGAGAAAGAAATATCCAAGATACAATCAATGAAGACTTTTAGATTGAGGAGAAACAATGAAGACTTTTAGATTTAGAAAAGTATTCTCATAAATACATAAACTCCCAAATAATGCAAAAATGGTTATACAGATAATCTGAATCAAGAATTGCACTGGCACTGAATGATTTTTTTTTTTTTTTTATATACGATGTACTTTTAATTTACTTTCAAATTTTTCTTTGATAATTTTTTTTAAGCTTTCCTTTCTGAAAAAGTATTTGTGTGTAAGATTTGCAACAGTATTTTAAGTTTTTTTTTTTTTGACTATGTTTATTTGATCAAAAGTTCAGGTACCTAAACTGAAGGAAGACAATGTCAACTACAGCTTGTTCTTGTCCCCACCTACTGTTACTTCACTCCCCTTTACAAAATGTAAAGTCAAGTGCATCACCATTGCGGGGGTTGATTGAATTTTTTTTTTTTTTTTTTGAGATCTGTGCTAAATTAAGCTATGATCTTCATACTTTCTTAATTTAGCTCTCACAAAAAGTTAATCTACCTTTAATTTTAAACATTTTAAAATTATCATAAAATGCTGCCTGGGAGATTTGGGAAGCAAATATGAGAGAGTGGTTTACTCATTCATAAAACTCTTCAAGCATTGTGACATGATAGTAATAAAGACTTATACAATATTAGTTTCATGACAGAGGGCGTCATCTAAGAACATTAGAGTGAAGTGAACATAACAACTCAACTGAAATTCAAACACTTTTTAGAGTCTGAAGAAGGGAAGAAAAAAGAGAAAAGATTACAAAGTTCTTTAAAAATTAAGATTTATACATTAAATCGGGTATTGTTAATTTTAGCACTTTAAGCGATTTCTGCACACTAAACACTGATTTAGCTCCCTCACATTCCCTTTAATTCAAATCCTCATGAATACATTTATATTTCCATTTAATTTTAATGGGATGATATTTGAGGATAAACATTTTAAAAATGTCCTTATTTTGACTAAGAACATTCCCTACCCCACCCCCACAAATTCTTTCAAGTAGGATCGGAGTAAATTCTTCTTGGCCAATACAAATTTTATTTCTCATTGCTTTATCCTATTTGTCATTTTATATCGTGTTTACTAAAATGATTTCTGTAACAACATTTCTCGTAGGATCAGAATAGGAGTTTATTTTTTAATTTAAGGAAAATGTAAGGGAAGTAAATAAGTTTGGTATGCAAAATCGTTTGAAACGCTAAACTTAATCCTCAGTTAATCATTAATTAAATATAAAAATATTTACTAAAATAAAAAAAAAAAAAACAATACCCGACATTTTATTTCCTCGATTCACAACTTCGGTTACGTTAATAAATCAATTAATTATACAAACAAAATATTGAAACCGAGGAAAATCTATTTTCAGTGTAATTATCAAAACATTCGTTAAAAGAACATCCTTCAGATAATGAGGCAATGAAACCTAAAAAGAAAACTATCAAACAATACAGGTTCTTACGAATTTTCTAGTTTATTTCATAAACAAAGGAAAACAATCTTTACATAATGGAAGTTCACTTTGGGTTCTCGTGTTACGTGGAGGGGGAAGAATGAATCACTGTAATTTACTTCTCCCGTACTTTCTTGTGAAATATATACAATTAGAAATGATCACAAATGTGGGAACATTATCATATTACTGTTGTATTACTAGAAAAGAAAAGAAAGTTATTTAAAAATATATATATTTGAAAAAAAATAAATGTGAAAAATTAACTTACACATTTTAATCTAAAAATTAAATCACAATAAAAATTAACTTAAAAAAAGGAATAAAATTATAAAAATACAAAAAAGTATTTAAAAACAAACTTTTAGAGTATCTTTGTTTAAGTTCTTAAAAAGTTTATTTTGTCGAAATCCTTCTGTAAAGGCTGGTCACACAATCGAGAATAAATATTTAAATATATTTAGAAAATTTTAAATGAAAATAACTTTCAAATAAACCCATATGTCCATTGCATTAACTTAAACCAGAGGAAATATTACAATTGGGGGGGGGTCGTTCGGTGTTAGTAAATTAAATTAAAAAATGATTAACTAAATGATAATGACGAAAGTGTAAAAGATAAAATCTTAGATAAAAATATTTAATCACAAAACTTTTTTTTTAAAAAATAAAGATACAGTGTAGTGGAATATATTTGCTCCACTTTTAATGTGAAAAGTGCATTCGCCATGTTAAAGATATCAGACAGCAATGAATAAGATTTGTTTGTGCATATAACCTAGATACATTTGTTTCTTAGACTGACAAAAACACAAAACTAAGTAAAAATACATTTGAGAAATTGTTAAGGTGAAAACAGAGTAGATTAGTGAAATATACGTATTTAAAAGAAAGAAAAATAAAGAGATATGAAGAAATAAGCGTCCTTTTTAGTTTATATTTATTGTGATGGAAGTCATCTTTTTTATTACACACAGGAAGGAAATAATATATTTTTCTGCTATATTTTTTATCTTAATAGTGCTTAATAGGTTAAATAGTAAATATTTAAAATACATAAAATAATACAGCCAAAATAGAACTACTTACGTGAGCTATTTCCTGAAAGACAGTCTTAGAATTTTTCTTTGTTAAAGTAGCCACTGAATAAGTTATTTCAGCCAAAGCAAACGACAGCGAATCGAGATTCATATTCCATGAACGCAAAGAGCGAAAGCCTCAAATTACTTTGAAGCCTTCTTCAGACTATCTCAAGTTCTGAAGGTCTCGTCGATGAAAAGTCCAGGTTTTATGACCCGAATAGGGCCGACATCGGGACACCTCTTCACTGAGACATTCGCCTACAAATTCAGACATGGCATCCCAGTGGCCATGTTGAAGACGTACCTAAGAAAGATTCGACAAATTGTTATTGTAACACGAATATTATTATCCAAATTGCTGTCCCCAATATGATATTTGATTTTTAAAATTTTTCCAATTAAAGGTAAATACAAAAAAAAAAAAAAATAAAACGATTATATCTTGATATTTGGGAAGAACACTAAGAGAATATTTAGTCACGTGACGTGCATTCGAACGTGATTTTCCATTTCTTTATTTTTTCTTTCCTTCTTTTTTTTTCTGCAGCGCTTGACTTTTCATATGCGCCCCCCCCCATCCACACCAACTTTTCTCTTTCTTTTAATTTTTTCATAACATTTTAGGAAATATATATTTATTGAAATGGGATTTTTTAATACATATATTTTAAAAAATAGTGATCATTCAAAGATTCGAAAAGTGATGTAATAGGATAGTGGTTTTGAGTATGATGTAGTAAGTAGTGATAATAATGATGCTGATTAATGACACAGCAATTCTAGAATTTAATATTCCATTATTCGTTTAATCTTATTCTATCATGACGGACTTAATCAAATAGAACCTTTTTTCTTCTTTATTTACATAGCTTTTTTCTTGCTTTTTTTTTAACCCGATTAATTTTATAAATAATCAAAAACAAAATTATTAAAAACTTAGTTATAATTTTTTTTCGCTATTTAATTTCGTTGTTATTGCCTTGATGTTTATACAAACTTTTATTCAAACTGGCTGCTTTTAATTTGGAGTCCATAAAGTGCGAAAAAACAAACAAACAAACAAACAACTTCATTACTGAAAAGAGTGTAAATGAAAAACCAAAAAAATAAATAAAAATGAAGTTTTCCAATGTGAGAAGGAATTATGCCTGGTGTTAAGTTGCTTGTCGAAATGACTGCTATTTTTTTTATATTTAGTTTTTTAAAAAAAGTAAAAAAAATTGAAAACATCAATAATTTCTAAAAACAAACGGAGGTGACAATAGGAAGGGAGATAATTCTTAGAAAAATACGAGACATGCAACCCCAAACTTTGAGAAAAAACATAAAGTGACAGCATTAAACACAAGATAATGTTTTCGTTTTTATCTTTATCACACTGATATTGAAAACAGATTGACAATGGGCAAAACGCATCATCAAACTTCCCAAGATTCAAACTACTTATCATCACATAGACTATGTGACTAAATGCAAATAAGTACTGATTTTACTTACTGATTTGAAAACTTGGATGATTTAAAAAGTTCACATGATACAACTCCATATGGGAAACCCTTTTGATCATATAGTTTTTGAAATCCAGAAATCTTAATTTCCAAATGGTAAAGAAAACCAAACAATGGCTTGCAAACCACAGACATTGTATATGAAAATTTGTGTGTTAGCTGACATTTTCTCATCATAAAAGACAAATAAGAATAAAATTCAAGCTTTATAATTGTTTATATTTATTAAATATTTTTATATTATTATGATTTGCATTTTTAACATTGTATTTTATGTTACTGAAATGTAGTTTCAGTATCTTCCATTCCTGTTCCCATAGTTTAGTGTCATATTAAATATGGACAAAATATAAACCTGAAATCAAGAAAACAATAAGGAACATAGAAGGAATAAATAAAAAAATAATTAACAAGAAACTTTTTTTGGTATTTAGCCAAACATAGCTGCCCAAATAGACAATATATATATATATATATATATATATATATATATATATATATATATATATATATATATATATATATATATGAATATATATATATATATATATATGAATATAAATATAATATCACATATATAGTTTTGGTGTTAATAGAACAGTGCTCAATGCAACATAAAGCTATTAAGCATATATTAATAAATACACGTATTATCCCTCACCGGTAGCACAACTTTCAGTTTCATACACAACACAATCTTCAGGTGCTGAGTAAAGACTGGCCATTATGTAATTTAAATTTTAATAAAAATGTTTGGTCAATGCAATATTTTTAAGACATTTTTATGTTTATACATTCTTTTTATAGAGCATTTACTGTTTACATTGGGATATATTTTATAGGAGGCACGGTGGAGTAATGGATAGCGGCTTGGATTGAGGAATCGCAGAGCCAAATTCGAATTCCAGTCAAATCCATTACATTCACTTACGTGCTAATACCCTTGGGAAAGGTATGAATCCTATTCTTCTCCCCCCAGCTATGGGTAAATAGCAGGACAGACTGGGTTCTATAGCCTTGGATGGCAACTGGTCTAGGAGAAGAACAACTCTGAATTCAAAACCTGCAGAGGGTCGTTTGGGAACCTTATGGCACTCGGTGCACCAGGTCTCTGTATTCAGCCCTTCAAAAAGTGTGGATGGTCCTGCACGAGGCCTTCACCACTATAATCAAATCTCATGTGTCGTTGTCGGGCTGTCGGTTTCCTGGAAACTGATCTGCTTGTCAAAATCTTGTCGAAATCGACGAGAGAGTCGACTATATACGACTATATATATATATATATATATATATATATATATATGTTATAAATTTGGGTAAATGATCTTGACATAGTTATACATTAATGATAATTGGAAATAAACATTCATGTTTTCAAAACATACTTTCATGAATGTTTTTTTCCAATTGTCATTAATATATATATATATATATGAAGAAATATAGTTTTAAGGTGTGCTATATTTATGGGATAAAGTGCTCAATATCAGAGATAGAGCATATGTAAATATAAAAGTGAACATTGAAGTCAACACTGAAGTCAAGGGGCCTGATGATTGCGTCTATCATGAAACAGTCTGTCACCTCTGAGTGTTCACTTTTATATTTATATATACATATATATTAATGTATATTTGGGCAGCAACATTTCTCTTAAACATCTTTCATTAAATATGGTAGACAAAGAAGATTTGATTAATCTTTTATTTAGTTTTTCCAACATCCTTATATTTTGCTGTTTTTGTATGAGTAAGTTTCCATAATTTCCATTGTCCCAAGTGCTTTCAGACACTTTTTTAACCATTTTCAAGGGGGCTTTGTTTTCTGTGTTGTTAATTTTTCCTCATGTTTCAACTGTTTAAGTTGTATTTTATTTTTGTGTTGTTTTGAATTGAAGCATTTATTCCAAGACTTCACATGTTGCCTTACTCCTACAAAATGAAAAAATATAAGGATGCTGGAAAAACTAAATAAAAATTTAATTAAATCTTTCTTGTCTGCTATATTTAATGAAATATATATATATATATATATATAGAGAGAGAGAGAGAGATAGAGAGATGAAGGGAGAATTAATATAAGTAAAAGTTTATTGCTTATCTGATTGATGTTACTTTCAACATCCCGACTCCAGAGTTTCATAATAGACGAACCCTCTGGGAATCACTCCATTCACTCGTTAGTGGGTATCAGCAATTGACTGCTTATACTTCTCAATTTTTGTTTTTTATATGCACTTATCATTGGTACAAGTTTTTTCATTTTTTTTCATAGTGTATGAGTGCATAATAGATGAATAGCCTAGGCCTACATCATGTTAAAACACTGTTTCCTGTATGATCACCTAAGTTAAGCGCCTGGTCAGTACCTAGATGGGTGAGCACTTGAGACTACCAGGTGGTGTAAGCTTCATTTATGGGCAAATTCCCTTGGGAAAGGTGTGAATCCACCTCTTCTCTCCCACCTATGGGTTAATTAGTAAAACTTGTATCACTAACCCATTATTATCTCAACAAAAAATTCTTACAATCTAAAAATATTTTCTGCTTTAAATAACCTGTAAAGGGTTGATAAGCCTTAGAAAACAGATCAACCAAATATGTGTGTGTGGGTCTATAAGTTTTCAACTTATCTGTCTCTATTTGAAGTTTTGCAGATATGATATTCATTCATTGGAGGCTTGATAGTAAAACTGAATTTATAAATAATATAATAAATTCAATTTTACTATCATTATTATATGACCCACAGTCTTGAACTAAATAGTGAAATTGATTGACTACATTGGTTTTTTTAAACCAATGTAATCTATCAATTTCACTTTCCAGTAAAAAAAAGTGGCTTTTCTAATAAATTGAACAACTGCATAGGGTATACACTGAGGACTAATAAGTAGAAGTCTTACAAACAACTTAAGAGATTTCCGTGCTTTAAAAAAGTACTTGAACACCCACACACTGCTTCCTGGTCCTATTAGAGAAATTTATGTTTGTAATATCATCATTCTAAATAAATCTAAAATATAAATAAAGTCTTGAGATAGCTGAGGCTCTTTATATAAAATAATTTAAGCCAAGCCTTAACCATATCATATTCGACAAAGGTGTTGAGTGTCTTTTGGAAGATTATTATTATTTATTTATTACAAATTTACACATTTGAAGTTGTCAGTAGCTTGTTTCAGGAAAAGGAATCAAATATTTAAAGTTCGCAGTTTCGATGAATTGTCAAGAAGAGAAAATGTTTGTATTAAATCATCGGAGACAAAATGTTGAAAACAAATTGAGAGAGTTCATTTTTCACATAAAAGTTATATGGTTGTATTCAACATGAATGAAAAGATATATTTTAAAGCACTTAGCTTTGGAGTTTAATAGAGCTCTTTGAAATTGTCCTGCTCTCATTAGAGGCTGATATTGTATCAGTGTGTAATTTGATACCGGCATTATTCAGACACATGGAATTCTGGCTTTCTGCCTCCTGCTTTTTCTCTCCCTCTGCCTTGATTCAACTTTCTCTGCCTATTTATATCAAAAAGTGATTTCACATCGGCTTGTTATTTTTTCTCAGTTTGTAAGCCACTCCCTTTCCCATTGGTCAA